CTAGCCCTCTACTTAGAGACTATGGAGATTGGAAGTTGGAGAGGTAGTTAAGGAGACAGGAAATTGCCATAGTGGGATAGATCCATGGTTCATCTAGTCATGTATTCTACTACCATCAATCAGAGACTCCAAAGCAGTGTTCTGTAGGGACATTTTTCCCTCCTGACAGCGTCAATGATTAAGTTAATTTCAGATTTTTAAGAGCCTATTCGTTTAAAAAAAAAAAGTCCAAATTTAAGAGCCAAATTTTCTGAGTTATTTATTTATTATGGAAAATAGTACTTGTTCTTATCTTGTTTAAGGTTCAAAGGATGTTCTCAGCCTAGTACTTGGGGATTTGGCAGGCAGTTCTATGTTTTCTTTAAACATATGCTTCATGATTTTATGTGCTTTGATCATGTGCCTTCTCATCTTTCACCATTCCAGATGGAGGAATCCCCATCTTTTTAATCTGTCTTCGTGTGGCATGAGGCCACTTGCCTGGCCTCTGGACATGCTGCCCCTGGCCAATGTCCTTCCTACAGTGTAATGTCTGGAACTGAGCACCCTTTACCCAGATGTTGGTGCCCCCAGGGAAGAATATAGGAAGTCACGCTGAACTCAGCCCATTTTAGACAATTTTTGTGGCATTCAGCTCCCTGCATTACATTGTAGGAAAGACATTGGCAAGCAATGTCTAGGAAGGGGTATTCAGGGTGGGAAAGGGAATGGAAGGGAAAGGAAGAAACATTTATGTAGCACCTACTGTGCTAAGCACTTTACAAGTACTATCTCGTTTGATCCTCACAACAATCCTAGAAGATGGGTGCTGTTATTATCCTCATTTTACAGTTGAGGAAACTGACATATAGGTTAAGTGACTTGCCCAGAGTGACACAGATAGTGAGTATCTGAAGATAGATTTGAACTCAAGTCTTCCTGATTTCAGGCCAGGCATACCATCCACTGCAACACCAGCTGGGGAGACTCAAAGTGACACCCTACAAGTTGCGATTGGGGTTACTGGGTGTAGTTAACTAAGATAAAATGGATTAAATTAAACAGTCACCAGTGACTTTTCATTCATGATGTAAATATGAGGGGCTTAATGATAGAAACAAGGGAACATTTAACACTCCATTTCATGTAATGACTAAACCAAGGCATAACTACTGGGCTTGGCTGAGTTGAAGGTGGTTCTGGAAATCCTATCATATAAGGATCAGTTGGAAGAGTTGAGAACATGTAGCTTGAGAGAGGGAAGGTATATGGGGTGAAGGGGAGGGGGAGGCAGGAATGATATTTTTCCCATATCTGAAGGTCCAACCTCTGGAAGAGGGATTAGATTTGTTAAATGTAATCTCCTTATCTGCATAATTGGGGGTTAAGTTAGATGATCTCTGTAGTTCCCCTTCCAGCTCTGAGTCCTCTGAACTAAGACTAGTGGGTGGGAGTGGCAGGAGTGCACATTTCTGCTCAATATTAAGATGTTTCAAAGGGTCCAAGTGATTGAGGAATGGATTTGAGAATGGTCTTGGTGTGGACAGTGAGTTCCCCATCATTGGGAGTCATAAACTGGATGACTATTTGTCAGAGATTCTTCCTTTGGGAGGAAGGGACCAGAAGACCTTTCAGGCTTATTCCCATTTCTTTGATTTCATTGCCAAGTCTAAGGTCTTTAACAACCGTCTGTTACACAGGTTAGACATAACCTTATCATGAATTAAAGGCTCTATTTTATGCCAAAATGTGGCAGAATTCAAAAGAAAAGATAGTGATCCTAAGCAATTGGACCTGTTTGGCCTGGAAAAGATTTAATGGGTCATGTAGTCATTACCTTTATATACCTGAAGAACTTGGAAGAGGGACCCAGCCTAGTCTATGACTTCCTGAGAAAATCACTGAATTGAGCTGTAATCTGAATGGCGCTTGAATTGACTTTACATTTGTTAGTTTGATACTTGAAATAAGTAAGATTATGAGAATCAAAGGTTGCTTCTCATAATGAGTCAAAGAAGAGAATGGGATTGCTGTTGTTTTCAGCCAAGGCTAGGAAGGAAAACATGGCTAGTTGTCCCACTAAAGTTAATAACTTCAGCAATAACTGTGACTCACGTGATTAGAAACATTGGAAACTCAAGGAATCAAATAAAAGATATCTTTGATTAGAAGCACTGAAACAGTTGGTATTATTTAACGACATGACATTTTCTTGTTTGCATGGCTCTTGCTAATTCCTCTTGGGAGTCATCTGTTCATCTCTCTCTCCATTGGGACTGGGAGGTTTGAAGCTGGCCCAAGGAACAGGGGAGTCATGCCATGTAATCATCACAGAATCCACTCTTCTTCTCTTCTCCCCACCTCCCCCTTCCCTGCCCCTCTCTTTCCTGGAATCATAAGAGGCCAGGGCCAGGTCCTGTGGAGGATGGGAAAGAGGGATGTGGCCTAATGGGAAAGGCAGAGTCACTGCTGCAGTGAAAGGTGGGGCACAGAGGAGCCCATTCTTCATTCCCATAACATTCTCAGGAGGTGAGGTGCCATGAATCAGAATTCTTCAACCCCTCTCCCCATGCACAAACTTGAAAGGGGCCTTTGGAAGCGGTGGAGATTTCACGACTGCTGAGTGGCAAGACTTGGGAAAGTAATTACTTTGTACCGTGAAGGCCAATAGAAGTACAGCCTTGGATATTTTCAGCATCTTTAGTTTAAAATCTGCGATGCCTCAGCTTATATGGAACAACTTTCAGGACAGCTGTTCTCTTCTCAGCCCTATGCCCACCTCCACACTGCCACTGTTGCTGAGTGAATCAGGGAATGAAGTCAGCAAAAGCTAGATACAGTTTGCTCTGTTGACTTCCTGCTAATTCAAGATCAAGAGAGTAGAGGAAGTAGAAACCCTTTTCCCAATCCCTGCTTCCCCTATTTTTTGGGTACAGGTGCCAATTCTTGTGAGGTCTGTTCCATATAAACCTTTTCGAAGGAAAGGAATGGTGCAAACAGCTTTTAAATTTCCTGGTAAGAGACCTTATTTTCTTGCCTATTCATCTACCTGGATCCCATGCACAAAGTGGCACTAACAGAATCCAAAGACACGAGCATGAAAGCAGGTGGGGCACAGGGCAGGCAGCTGAGAAACTTTTTGCATTTTGTTCATTGTTCTTTCCTGAAAGAACCCTTTAGCTTACCCCATCCTCAGCTTTCAATTAAGCTAGGTCTCCAAAATGATTCTCAGCAGCTTCTCTACCCAGTTCCATTCAATGGCTTTTTTTCAGCTGCTGTTCACCAGGGCCTTAGCTCTTGTTTTTCCAAGTGCTTCCTTTCTTCTTACGTGTTTAGCTCGAGCTGGCAGGTCTCTGATGCTTTACCCACCGTGACGCCCAGGGATGCACTAAACTCTTTATAAACAAAGTATGTAGACCGTTTCCTTTTGACTTACATGTTCACAAATTAAGATTTGATTTGATTTGATTTTTGAAATAATTTTTTACCAAGGGAAAAAATACTCCAGAAAGTTTACTCCAGAAAATAACACAATTATGAATTTTTTTCAATTGTCCACAATAATCCAAAATCTAGACCCTGCTGTTTTAGCTAGCATAACCTCTGTTGTGCTATTTTCAGAACCTGGTTCTTTATCCTGTGATCAGCCATATGTTGCTCATTCCTTCTCATGCTTGTCAGGTGCTTCTCTGATGGATATCACAGTCCTCCTGAAGTGAGTCAGCCTTCTCACCTCTGCTTCCAGCAGGCAAATCAGCTGAAGCATACTATATGTTGGGTGCCATGCTGACATTTCTACCACATTGATTGACTTTGTCTCTTCTAGCCACAAGCAGTCTAACTTCCTTTTCTACTAAAAGCAGTACTTAAAAAAATAATAATAATTGGACTTAGCCTTCAGGCCAGCTATTCCAATTTGAAGCAGGCTTCATAGTTCATTTGAAAACAACACGACACTCAGTTGTGAGGGCGTCCCTAACTTTCTCAAGTATGGATTCTTCACAGCCCCAGAAAGAAGCATTAGATGTGACTTGCTGATTGTGGTCAGATTCCATCACTGCTGTTTTTCCATTGAAAGCCTGATTTACAGCTAGATCCTGGAATCCTCCCTCTCCACTGCAGAGGAACACAAAGAGTCAGGACCTCTACCAGAGGAACCTGTACTCCATGAATAAACAGACTGGCCAATCAGTTTTGAGATCAAGAAGCCTAAATGTCACAGGAATGCAAGGGTGACTCACAAATATTAATGATAAACAGGAACTTTCTCAAAAAGTGTAAAAGTCCCTCAGTTTCAAGGCATGGAGAGAAACAACATGCCTGCCCAACTCACGGCAACCTGACTGGAGCTCTTGATCAGGAGTTGATTTCTTGCCTTCTTTTTATGTCCCGAGTGGCAACCATTTGGACACGGCGAACAAAAGCTGCGCCAACTCCCGGGCCACTTGTCTTGACCGGGACTGTCAGCTTGCCTTGGCAGATCCCCAGCTGGCCATTCGTCTGCGCCGGCCCGCTTGTCTGACTCCCTGGCTGGCCTCCAGGGAGACCTGGAAATCTGGGGGGTCACTGGAGGAATCCGGTTGCCCTAGCAACACTGTGCTCGAATGCTTAGTGCCTCGATTTGCTTGCTCACAGTCCGACGTTGTCAGTTTGCTGCCTGCCCGCTTGTCTCTTTCCATTTGTGTGTACCCTTTAGTCTGTCATGCTGTTTGCATAATGCCAGTTAGTACTGTTGCATACTTCATCAGTCATTTACTCGTCTCCCTGTAGTCTTCTCCGTGGCTGCCTTCCTTTAGGTGGATCACACCTCCTGAGTAGTTAATGTCAGCTTGTGCTTGTCTGGTCAGCCCGCCTGCCATTCCATTTGTTGTCGCATCTGTCAATCTGTTCAAGTTCGTCGACTTGTTCCGCCAGCAGGGGTCGCAGACTCGGAGGCAGCGCTCGCGCACGCGCGCTGTAGCCTTCCGTCTGTGCCGAGGCTTTGGTGGCCCAGCACCCCAGGCCCCGCCCTGGACCCATCTTCTTGAGGCGACGGGTGGTGACGCGTTCCAGCCGCGCCGCGGGAAGGTCACACGGCCTTCTCCAATATGGCGGCGGCGATAAGGGGTGGATGGTGCCGCTGCTCCCGGGTGAGGTGCTGGGCGAGCGGAGGGGGGAGGAGAGGATAAGGAAGGGGCGCGGCGCGATCCCGGCGCCGGGCCGGGCCGGGCCTGGCCTAGCCTAGCCTGTGTGCGCCGGGGCTCCCAAGGGGCGGGGCCGAGCGGCGTGCTTTGGCCGGGCTTGGAGAGGGCGAGCCGGCGAGCGCTCGGGGCAAGGCCGCGGTTGTGGTGGCCTGGCCTGGACCCCGTCGACCCCGACCTTCCTCGTCACCTTGGGGCCCACGAGGCTTTCGGCCCTCCTAAGCCTAGCGATTCTGGGGCCTTGAGTGGGGGGTTGCTGCCCCGGAAGGCGGTTACCCTGGGAAGGGGGTGGAAGGGCCGCCGAGGTCTTGGGGTCTGCCGCCCAAAAGCAAGACAGCCTAGGCCCTGAGCGACCACAGCCCCCTCCTGCAAATGGGGAAACTGAGGCCCACAGAGTTGAAGGGAGTAGCCCCAAGGTCACACAGTAGTATACGTCCAAGGCTGGGTAGGAACCTAAGTCTTGCCTTTGCAGGGGAGGGGACTTGCCCCAGGGCACACAATTGGTGGTAATTGGCAGAACCCAGGTCCAGTGCTTTCCTTCCTGGGCCATGCTGCCTTATTTTATAAAGACTTGAAGAAACTGAGGGCCACTCATGCCGGTCTTTCCTTAGCTAGAGCCCAGGCCAGGGACATGGAGGAGAAAATGACAGGGAGGGTGATGTCACAATATGAAAGCCAACATTTGAGTTGAAGAACAGTAGAGTCAGGACTTCGATGGCAGTTGTGGGAGTAAAAGTTGGGGGCCGGTTTAGTGGAGACTCAGTTTAGTTCAGTATGTCATCGCTGTGTCCTGGCAGCCTAAAAGACTGTTTCAGAATCCGTTTAAGAGAGTAGTAGGGCTCAGAATGAAAGATGATGGTCTGTAGTCAGACCCTGTTGTGATCAGTTCTCAACACATATTTTAAGAATATTGTCTAGCCTAAGAGTTTTTAGAGGACGGTGAAGGACCTTGGGTCTGTGATATGAGGACCATTTGAAAACTGGAATCTTTAGCCTAGGGTAGAGAGGACTTGGAATAGATATTTAATGGCTGTCTTCCAGTGACCCTGAAGACAGATTAGATTAGACTTGTCTTGATTGGCCTTGGAGCAGAGCTAGGAGCAGTTTGGGTAGAAGTTACAGGGAGACATATTTAGCCTAGAATAAATAAAACTTCCTAAAAGTTAGAGCTAGGTTTCCCTCACTAGAGATTTGCAAACAGAGACCAAATGCTTCCTTGTTGGGTCTGTGGTAGAGGAAATTCCTGTTGAGGCTCATGTTGTATTAGATGGCCTCTGAGGGTCATTCAAAGCCAGCCTTACTTCCCTGCTTCTGACCAGGCTGCTTGAGGATTCTGCTTGTTCTCATCTGACCATATCTGAAGTGTTGTGTTCAGTTCTGGGCTTAATTTAAGAAAGAACATAGATAAGATAGAAAGTATCCATGCCATAAGAGGATCAGTTGAAGGAATCGAATTATGTTTGAGCTGGAGAAAAGAAGGATCAGAGTGGGTGAAGAGACATGATAGGAGTTTTCAAATAAACATTGTCATAATGAAAAGGAAATGAATTCTTCTTTGCCCTCAGAGGGCAAAACCAGTAAAGCATGGAAATTGAAAAGAGTTAAATTAGGACTCTAACAATTACATCTATCCATAAATGGAATGGTCTGCCTTGGAAGGTAATGAATTCTTCCATAGGAGGTCTTCATGCACAGTTAGAATGACCATTTGCCAGGAGTGTTAAATTGGAGGCTCTCAGTTTTGGATTGGACTGGGTGATTACTGTGGTTCCTTCTAGTTCTAAACTTAGGCAATTTTGTGATTCTCTTCTCCGGGAGGGGATAAAATATCACTGGGGGAGAAGGTTGTACATCTGTCTCAGAATATATGTAAAATGAAGGAACCATATTATTACCCTGTAGTGCATCTTGGAGTAGGAGCAGACTCTGTACACCTTTCACTCCCTGTCCTTGCTCAGCCCTTCAGCAGCAACATAGGATATACTAAGCATGAACCTAGCTCCTCCTAAATCTGGCACAACTCAGTTAGTCTCTCCTATAGCTGGTCATGCAACACAAAAGTTATCACAGAACTGTATCACTGAGTTTCCAGGGACTTAAAAAGCAGAAGCAGCTGAATCTAGTGGCATTAGTGGCCTGATCTAGAAGCATTAGATGAAAAACAAAAGACCAGGGTTCTGATCCTGGCTCTGTCTGTAATCAGTGAAGAAATGGGGAGATGGGAGGAAACTGGGGCCCAGAGAATGGAGGGGGACTTACCCAAGTCACACATTAGGTTATAGGTAGAACTGAGATTACCACCAGGGCCCATCCCACTGCCTCCTGTTACTTGAAGAAATAAAAACTTATGTAGCCTCAGATTCTGACAGACAGAGCATTAGAAATACAGACCTAGAAACACAATGAATTCTGTCTTTCCTGTTTGTTTCTATAAACACATAAAGTCATTGTGAACTCAAAAAGAGTAAGAAAATGAATCTGAACGGAGTAACAGAAGGAAAGGTGGAACTACTAGGAATAGCAAGGCCATAATAGAAGTATGTCAGTGGAAGCAGGAAAGATGGAAAGAGCCTTAGAGGGAGAGGAGGGAGGGCAGGCTAAAGATCTTCATCAACAGTTTTTTGTCTACTTTAGGTCTCAGCTTCATAGAATTTAGAGTGGAAAGGGGTTGGGGTGTGCTTTGGGGATTATTTCCTCCAGCTCTTTCATTTTATAGATGAAGAAAATGAGGCCTAGATAAGTAGTGGTTTTTTTTTTCAAGGTCACATACAGTCTAAATACCAGAATGAGAGATTCTAATCCAATGTGCTTGACACTAAATTGGGGTGCCTGTTCATCTCTCATAGGTCCAAATTTAAGTGGTAAGAAAGTGGATGGAATTCTGAGCTTGGAAATTAGGAGATCTGGGATTTCTCTTTCTTTGTTCTGGTGGCCATTTCTTTCTCAGTTTAGGCAAATTTTATCAATGTAGGTAAAAATAGCTTTGGGTGTGAATTGGTGGTAGTTTTTAATAGGTTTTGTAAATTTACTAGGTTTCCTCTCAGATAGGTTTTAACTCAGTTAAAATTAGCAGTAAATAATGGGAAAAGGGGCTGGAAGAAGGGTTGGAGGGAGCTGGCAAAAAAAAGAGACAAAGTGGAGGGGGAGGGACACAAAGAAGAATTAAAGAACAAGTTGATTTGAAGGTTTAAATAAATAACAAAGGAAGTGATCATCTTTTACCCAAGCTAAAGAAATTCTGCTATAGCTCCCACTCTTTCAGTGACCTAGGAGCCAGAGTATACCTTATGCAGATCCCAATTGTGGAATCTCATTTTATCCCTTTTTCCTCTTTATTAGGCATAGGACAAATTGATAAGAAGATTCTTATTCTTTCCCCTCTCTACAGTCCTTCATTCCACAAAGGTAAAATAATAATTGCTGTTCTTTTTTCATTCTTTCTCCCCTGATTTTAGAGATGCCTTGGCAGTGGGACCCAGCTTCTCTCTGGCTGGTGCCCTGTGCCAGTGTCCTATGGCCCTGTCTATCGAATATGCAGTCCAGGCTTAGAGCTGCCACTGGTAAGTGAAGCAGATTTCCTCTGCTCTCCAGGGATCCTGGAGGGCGAAGAAGGGACACTACTGAGAGAGATCAGAAAGTGATCTCTTTTGGCAGTATGGAGTGGAGGGGTTGCTGAGAAAGCTGCCAGCACAGCAGTTGAAGCTCCCAAAGGATGCTTATTAAGTGCCTAGGCAGAGTATTTACTCTTGAAGGTAGCATGCTACTCAGGTTTGTGGAACTGCCACTCATTTACCACAGTGATTGTACACAGTGCTTGTGACTTCAGAGTCAGCTTCAATTTTTTTTTCACCCCAGCTCTTTTCCCCTGAGTCCCCACCTTTCCATTTTAATTACCATCACTCATGTTAAGTTCCTTGTTAGCCTTTTGTAAAAGTCTCTCTGTCCTCTGTCTCTGGGTATTTTCCCCTCCCTACTACCTGCATCCTCAGTCTATCTCTTACTCTGCTGCCAGAATCATCTATCTCATGGACAGCTGGAATCACATCATTTCCTGGCTTATGAACGAACCTTCAGTGGTGGTCTGTCCCCTAGTGGATGAAATCAGACATTCAGGACTTTCCATAGTCTAGTACCAACCTACTACCTTTTCGACTACTGAAAAACTATTCTCATTCTCTCTCTCTCTCTCTCTCTCTCTCTCTCTCTCTCTCTCTCTCTCTCTCTCTCTCTCTCTCTTTCTTTCTCTCTCTCTCTTTCTTTCTCTTTCTTTCTCTCTCTCCCTCCCCCCCTTTCTTCCCCCCCCCTTCTCTATGCTTAGGAGCAGCTAGGTGATGCAGTGCATCAGTGCATAGAGTTCTGGGCCTGGAGTTAGGAAGACTCGTCTTCTTGAGTTCAAATCCAGCCTCAGGGACTTCCTAGCTATGTGACCCTGGGCAAGTCACTTCACCCTTTTTGCCTCAGTTTCTTCATCTATAAAATGAGCTGGAAAAGGAAATGGCAAACCACTCCAGTATCTTTGCCAAGAAAACTGCAAATGGGATCACAAAGAGTCAGACAGGACTGAAAAGTGAATGAACACAATTTATGCTTGAACAAAACAACTGTTCTTGCCCTGTGCTTTCCTGCCGCCTCCATGCTTTTATTTCTGTTTTTCCCTACACACTGGTGTACTATGCACCCTGTACACACATGCACGTAACAGATACTATTTCCACTTGTTGAAGTCCCATCTTTCTTTCAAAGTCCAGTTCAGATGTCATATTATTATGTCTTTCACTTTTTTTAATGCCTGTCTTATGCTCTTGCTGAGCCCCTGGAGGGCGGGTGCCATGTTTTAATTCTTTGTATCTCCCCAGCACTGAGCACATGGTTGGCACTCTGTAAGGGCTTGTTGAAGGAATGAAGCAGCCAAGGTAGTGCCACTTAGACTGCCGTCAGCCTTGCTCCAGTGTTATGTTATGTCCTTCTCTTTCTAGTACATTGTGCTTTGTGGATGACATGAAATTGGGAGGGATAGTTACTATGATGGAAGACTGAATCAAGAGTCCAAGAGATCACCATAGGCTAGAGCAATGGGCCGTAGCTGAGAAGATGGCATTTAAATTTGCATTTAAGGGGTAAATGTAAAATCCTGCATTTAGTCTGATTCAAAAAAGGGAATAGTATAGTGTGGGGGAGATGTGGCTAGCTACCAGTTCTTGCAAAAAGACCAAAGGTTTTTAGGTGACTACAAGTTCAACCTGAAAAGCTAGTGAAACCTAAGGCTACATCAGTAGAAATATAAAAGAATCGATAGAAATCTGGTTTCCAGAACAAAGGAAGTTAGTTTTAGGTCCCACTGTCCTCTTCTTTGATCATATACTATCAGGTGGACTGTGGTCAGTTCTGGGCGCTCTTTAGGAACTGGGATATTAGCAAACCAGAGTCCAAAGAGAAGAAAGTGACTTATCATTTTTTCTATTTTAAAAATAGAAGCTAGATTTAACTTGATAACTTGAATATTTGATTCACATTCAGTCATGTTGGGGAATTTCTATGCTTTTGGTTTTTTCCATGGGTAATGATGATTTTCTTCAAATTTTTTTAGGCAAAGTGTTATTCTTCTGGAAGCAGGAAAAGTTTCCTATCTGGCTTGTTAGAAAATATCAAACAAGAATTAGCAAAAAACAAGGAAATGAAAGAAAGTATAAAAAAATTCAGAGATGAAGCTAAGAAGTTGGAAGAGTCAGATGCACTTCAGGAAGCAAGAAGGAAATATGTAAGTCATTTAACAGAACTTTGTTATAGTTCACTTTGTGTTTTTGAGAGTGGAAGAGAATGGAGATTTGAGAATGGAGGTTCATAAAGTCACACAATGTCAGAGCTGAAAAATACATCAAGTCCCGGAAGGGTCTTTTTGTCCCAGCTGTCTGCCCCATGAAAGGATATTATTTGTTTAAGATCACATGCCTGGTTAGTAGCAGAGCAGATCTGAAACCAGGTCTCCTGGCTTCCAGCCCATTATTCTTTCTATTTCACCAGCTAATAAGGTCTGATTAAGGAAAAACTTTGCCTTTAGATGTAAGTAGAATAAACTGCTTTAGGAGACAGGGCATTTCCCCTTAACTGGAGTTTTTTGAGCAGAGCCTAGGTGGTCCCTCATCAAGAATATTACACAGGAGATTCTTGTCAGAGGACAGGTCAGACCTCTGAAGTCCTTTCAGCCTTTTTCGGTTCTTGAGATACTTACTGGTAGAATCATGTGAGGAGAGGACCTGTGTTTGATTTTCTTCTACTTTTTTCCCCTAAAGAAATCCAGTTTTAAAATTTTATACTATAAGTAGACAATTCCAGCTCAGCTCCCATTGCTATGGAACAATGAATTTCAATTTCGTTGATGGGTCTCATTGGACTTGAAATTTTTAACCATTTGTTATAGCTCATGTGTTACTCTTAGCCTGTCAAAGGCTTTGATTTAACTGAAGATGCAAGGGGGAATTATGCCCTTGGTTGCAGCATTGTGGCCAGAACTGTTTCATTTTTATTTCTTAATTTTACCTCAGTAACAGCTTGTTTATTGGGTGACATTAGAGACCATGGAATTCTCGTGGGACAGACAATTTGGATATGACCCATAACTGTTTTGTAATAGGATTTGAGCAGTATAGAACGTTAGATTTTGTCATATACAGTAGCAACAAATGGCATAGTTGGGGATGAGAGTGGGGGAAAAAATTGGAGTGTGTTGATCTGCCATGAAGTGGGCAGGGAAAGAGATACAGTTGGAGGATATAAGAAGTTATTTATCCTGGAATGGTTTTGCCACCATGTGTTTAGGCTGTGACAAGAGGAAAATTACCTTCCCCTTTGTCCAGAAAGGTGTTATGGGTAGGTCGATTACTCGGGGGCTAGAATGAGCCTCAAGAAGAAGTCCTGGGCCAGTACTAGTGCAGCTTTCGTTGACCTGGTATAGCTAAGAAGGCTGGCTAGGTGAGGCTTGCTCCCTCTCCATGCAGTGCCCTGTACCATAGCCCTGGAGTAGCCCCGAGACTCCCTTTAGTTAAAGAAGAAAGACAGGTCTATGAGCATGGAACTTATCAGGGTGGAAGGACTGACAACAGGCTGTCAGGGAAAGAATGAACTTTTCTGGTTGTTTCTAGCCCTGTTAAAAACTAAATATAGTTGGTGGCTAATTTCTCTCTTAATAAAACTGATCTTCTCTGTTATAGAAAACCATTGAGTCTGAAACAGTCAAAACATCTGAAGTAATTAAGAAAAAAATTGGAGCATTCACTGGTACAGTGAAAGAGGTAAGAGACCAGAACATGGCCTTGCGTGAGGCCTTCCTCTGATTTCCACTTCTGCTGTCTTCACTGCACACTGCCACCTCCTGGTATTAGGACCTTCTCCAGGATGGTTCCGTCCTCCCTCTAGCTTCAGTCTCACTATTCCTCCCCTTCATTCCTTCTGTTCTTCAGCTGAACTACACGAGACTGTCTCCCAGATGTGTTCTGTGTCTGCTGCTATACCTTGGCTCACACTGTTCCTTATCCTTTCCTCTGAATTTCCTGTCTGCCTTTAAAGTGCGGCTCAAGGGCCGCTGTCTCCATAAAGCCTTCTTTGATATTTGCTGTTGTGTAACCCCCTGCACCGTATACCTCACGCAGCACTTTGCCTCTCCATTGGGCATCTCTTCTTGTTATGTATTACAATTAGTTTGTTTGTATCATTTGCTTGTACCAGACTGTAAGCTCCCTGAGGGCAGGCTGCATATTTTCTCTAATTTTTGTATTTTTGCTAGCTTTAAGCACAATGTTTTATACTTACCAGGCATTTAATGAGCGTTTGATGATGAAATGAATAAATGAATACTTACAAGTCAAGAAAGCTCAAGAGAGCTTATTCAGAATGTGGGCTTTGGTTCCTAATCCTAAATTTTCCAAAAGTCAGTGTATTGGATTAAATTAGGAGGGTCCAGGTCAGTCTTTTGAGAGTCAGTCACTGTTTTATGAATTGCTTTTAGACACAAATATTCTTTTTCCTCTGTCCTCCTCCTTGTCCTTTCTTTCCCTCATTTTCTTCCTCCCCCTTCCCCTCCCCCTTTGAACTACTCAAGTATTGACTCTTTCGAAAAGGCTTTCCTGATTCCCCAAGTCACTCTGTATTTATTTTGTGTTATATACCGTGTTTGCTTATCTGTAAACATGTATCCCTCCTGTAAAATGTAGGTTCTCGCATGGGTATTTGTATCCCCAGCACCTGATACAGTGCTTGTTTGTGGTAGGCATTTAATAAATGCTTGTTGATTAATTGGTGTGTGTAAGCAAGCCGAATTGCGTTAAATGCCCAAGTGTATGTTTTGATGTGCCGGCTCTCTGGTTTGTGTGCTGGATCCCTAGGTTGCCGAGGACACTGGGTGCCAATCTGAGAAGTTAGAACTGAGCCGGGATGTCAAGAATGCTCGTTACACCTAGGCTACCTCTCATTTTGGGGGAGTCCTTGAGGGTGGGGGAGGACGAGGCCACTGCTGGGAGTTGTTCTGTATGGACTTATGGGGAAATCCCAGTTTGGCCTGGACTCCCCTAGAATCCTCTAGCCCTTCAGGACCGGACTGGGGACTGATCTGAAGCCAGCCCTATCCTCCAGATCAGCGCTGGGCCTGAGTGAATCTATTGGGAATAAAGCAGCTGGTGACAGAAGGCAGTGTGTGTTATGCTTTTCTGTAGCACGGAGCTTCTGTACTGCCAGAGGAGAATTGGCGGCATTGAGGGCCCTGACCACTTTTGTTTCTTGTGCTAGAGTTTGGATGAAGTAAGTAAAAGTGACATTGGCCGAAAAATTCTAGAAGGCATGGAAGAAGCAGCCAAAACAGCCAAGCAGTCTGCAGAATCTGTGACCAGAGGTGGGGAGAAGCTGGGCAAAACAGCTGCTTTCAAAGCCATATCTCAGGTAAGCCGATGACTGGGGGAGCTCAGAGGATGTACTTTGTTCAGATGGTATCAGGTCGTAGGTTCTGTAGCTGGAAGGAGCCTTAGAGTTCAGCTCATCCACCACCCTTACCCTACAGATGAGGAAGTAGGGGCGCAGAACAGCGAAAGGTTGAGCACATGGTAGAACTGGAGCTGGAAGGCCTTGTGTTTGCTTTTCTCTTCTTTGGGCTTTAATCATTTTTAAAAATTTGCCTGATGGAGAGCCTGAGGCAAAAAGAGTTCTGATTTTTTCAGCTAAGTATTTACAGAACATCCCTCCTCTTATACAACCCAAAGCTGATCAGGCTAGAGAAAGGTGCAAAGCCTCCTGGCTGTTCTTCAGACTGATTGGCCTTGACACCTAGTGGTCTTCTCAGAAGTGGAATGGAGTTTATTAAGTCAAATGAGCTTTGTTGTCCAAAAAATAGGCAACATAAGGATACAAGAAAATAAAGGCCCAAGTCTGATTGTACAGATACATCATAGTAATGTTTCATATTTGCATGAGTAGAGCTGCTACCTACCCGTTCTCTTTTCGTCTTGTCATTTTCAGCAAATCTCCGTAATTTGGTATAGGGTTTGGGAGGGATTCAGCCTAGCCTCCCATGGATCTAGAAACTAGTAGTGCCTTGAAAACAGATGGTAGATTTTTGTTAACACCTGGATGATTATGCTTTTCCTTAGGGAGTTGAAAGTGTGAAGAAGGAACTAGATCAAAGCGTACTAGGACAAACAGGCCCCTACCGAAGGCCCGAGAGACTTCGAAAACGGACTGAGTTATCTGGAGAGAAAATCAAAGAGGATAAAGTATTTGAACCCAATGAGTAGGTATTTGACAAACTAAATCCCTTAGGTTATTGACTACACCTGGCTTTGATTTCTTAACCATTTTATTTTGTGTAGGTAGGAAAAGAAGCTGACCCAGTAGCTTGATCCCATGTTCTAGGCCCTCATGACTGGAGTGTTGTTTTATTTTGGGGTTATTTTCAGTTGTCTGTCCCTAACTTAATTTTCTGAAATGCTCCAGAAGAGAGCCCGTGGGTCTGGTCCCTGTTTTTTCTACCAAGGATCTCATGCGCCTCTGCACTGGTTTCACAGAGCCCAGATCATGGGATCTAGAAGATGGAAGGGATCGTAGAAGTCAGCCAGTCCATCCCCTAATTGAGCTCAGGAAGAGCTGAGGTTTGACCTTGGTCCTCTGGCTTCAAATCCAGTGTTGTTTCCGCTTCACCATGGAGCATCCCTTTCGGAATCAGGAACAACAAATGAAGGGAGCTTCTTAATTGGGTACATTTAAATATCGAGTTTTACACATATACAAGCACACACACACACATTCTTCTGAATATCTCAGAGCAGTGGATTCATCCGTGACAAAGACGTGGGGTAGGATTGTTGTGATCTGAAAGAGGCAGGAAACAAGCAGTAGATAGATGCATGTGTGGGCTGGACTGGGGCATTTTGGGCATTTTGACCATTGATGGTTTTCCTGGAAGTGTCTATCATGTTCCCTTTTCAGAGCTCAGGCCAAGGTTACTGATGAAATGAATGCCTTGTGATTTTCCCCAGGGAAGCAATGGGAGTTGTGCTGCACAAGGATTCAAAATGGTATCAACAGTGGAAAGATTTCAAGGACAACAATGTCGTCTTTAATAGTAAGTGGCAAAAAACTTTCTTGACCTTGGGTCATTTGGGGTGCAGCAGCCACGGGATCCTGTCTGAAGTCAGCTTGGAGAGTGGTCTTTAGTCCTCCAGGGATAGGCCTCGGCCCTGTGCTGATAATGTTTTGTCAGGGACTTGGAGAAAAGCAAATGATAAGGATGGCTGACATGTTGGATGACAGGATACAAACAGATCTTAACAGGCTTGAATAATAGGCTAAATCCACATACAGTTGAAGTAAACATGAGTACTCTTCTTGGGTTAGCAAAATCGGCTTTATAAACTCAAGATGGAAAAGGCTTGCCCACCAGCTCATAAAAAAGATCTGGGTATTTCACTAGCCCATCAGCTCAGCATGAGTCACAGGGTAGCTCAGCAGCCAGGAAGGCTAATGGCCTCTTGGACTACATAAAGAGGCACAGTGACTGAGAATGAGGGTCATGATCATCCTGGTGTCCTCTTCTCCTTAATGGACCATATTTGAAAGGTTGTATTCAATGTGGGGTACATTTTATTTTATTTTATTTCATTTTATTTGTTTTTGGTGAGGCAATTGGGAGTAAGTGATTTGCCCAGGGTCGCACAGCTAGTGAGTGTTATGTGTCAGAAGCTGGATTTGAACTCAGGTCCTTCTGACTCCAGGGCTGGTGCTCTATCCACTGCACCACCTAGCTGCCACTGTGGGGTGCATTTTAGGAAGGACATTGGCAATGTAAGAAGAATCCAGGGAAAGAAGACCAGCATAGCATGATGAGAAGATTAGAGATTCTGCCATATTGGGGTCCATTGAAGGAACTAGGGAATTAAAAGGCTTGGTGGGATGTTATCCTTCTTCGACTTGATCCCAGAGGACAGAACAAGGAGCAGTAGGTGGGAGTTACAGATTGTCGGGTTTTGCCTCAACATAAAAATTTCCTAACAATCAAAGCAATTTGAAAACGTACTGGACTAGAGATGGTGCCTGCCCCTCCTTGGAGATTTTTGGGTACGTGCTGGATGAACACTTGTTGGTGGGTGTCGTCTAAAAGATTCTTGGTCAGGTGCTGGTAGAACTAGATGGTTTCTGAGATTCTGTCAGTCAGTTGTCAGGCATTCATTAAGTCTCTGCTTCATGCCAGGCAAAATGCTGGACTCTTGAGAATATACAAATACAAAAAATCCCAACTCTTCTTTGGCCTTAAGGTGAAAAGGAAAGAGGGAGGAGAGGGTGAAGTAGAGGAAACACAGAATTACAGAGTTGGACAGGACCTCAAGAGGCAGCACGATTAGTGGAAACAGTGCTAGCTTTGGAGTCAGGAAAACTTGGGTTCAAATCTTGATCCTGACTCGGTGACCAGGGGCCTGTCACTTAACCATCTGAGTACTGACGTTCTAAATGCTATGTAAATGTCATCGTTATTACTACGTGGAGACAGCTATTGTATCCCCATAAGTTTTCTCTTCTTTAGGCTAAGCATCACCTTAAGGAAGGGCATAGAATCTCCAGTACCTGATGTGGAGATTTTGTCCAGCTTCTTGGAGGGTAACTGCTGGAGATGAGTGAGGGAGAAAATCTTTGATCTATAAGGTAGGGAGATACCAGGGAGAGCTCTTGTCACAACAGACTCCCATGTCATGACAGCAGGCAAGGAGGTGGTTCTCCTGCGGGTGTTCCATCTTTATTGGTAGAAAGTTAACCACTGATCCTTCAGACAGCTGGTTTAATTCCCCACCACACCCACACAGCACTTTGTTACCTAGCCTGGGAGTCTTTGCATTCTCAGTGGGCTATGGAATTAGTTGGGAAAGGTCTTTTTTTTTTTTTTAATAAATGGTCCATTTTGTCATACTCTTTCGACGTATTGATCAGTTGTGCTGGTATTTTTTCACTCTTAAAGTGCTGTTTGGTATGTGGGCTGGCTCTCTGCAAGTAAATGCTTGGTATAACTATAATGATGTAAAAAAAAAGAAGATAGTAATTAAAGCAATAAACAACTGACAAAAAAACAAAACAAGAAAGAGTGGTCATCAAGCCTTTGCCTGAAGGGATGAGAAAGTATACCTTCCTCCTTTCTTTGTAAAGGATAGGAACCGTGGCTGCAGAACATTGCGTGTACACACAATTTTCACTTTATGTAAACTCACATTACACAAAATCATCTTTATGTAAAGAATTCTCAAAGGAATTCTCATTCCCCCCCAAAAAACCCATCGATTTTACTGTGCACTGCTGTAGTCTCTCTCCTCTCTTGCTCCTCTGCTTGGTGCTCCATGGCCTCCTCTCCCCATCCCACTAAATGTGAATATGAATTCCACTCATCGTTAATACACAGAATGTGTGCGTGCTTATAGACAGCACACAATCTGGGAGACTTGAGAGACAAGCAACTCCTCTTGCAAGAGAACTCAGGAGGGATCACATCCAGATAGCCCTGAGTGAAACAAGACTGTCTATTGATGGCCAGCTTACCAAAGTTGGAGCTGGATACATAGTTTTCTGGAGTGGTCACAATGATGGAGAGCACCGGGAAGCTGGCATAGGTTTCACAATCAAAACTGATCTTAAGTCAGCAGGCTTGTGTGCCTTCCAGAAGGAGTTTATGACAGGCTCATGACAATGGCATTGCCCCTTGCAAGAAAGCAGTGTGTGTGCTCCCACCAGAAGGAACCTCATAAGGGCTCCTAATTCTGGGTGACTTGAACACCAGAGTAGGCACAGACTATCAGACATGGCAGGCAGTCCATGGGAGGAATGGAGTCAGCAACAGCAACAGTTACTTACTACTGAAGACTTGTGTCTCATGATCCTCTCATCACCAACACTGTCTTACATGTACCTAAACGCAATAAAACTCTGTAGGTGCACACTGACAGCAAACATTGGCATTTAACTGTGTCGTTGTAAAGAGAAGAGATAGACAAGGTGTGAGAATGATGAAGGTGACGTGCGGCACAGAGTGCTGGACAAATCGTGGACTTGCCCTCTCCAAGCCAAGCATTTGCGTTCAACAAGAGTGGTGGCCCCAAGGCAAGACAACTGCCAGGAGACTTTGTCAACCGATTTGAGTGCATAGTTTGCTGCTAACCTAGAGGGAAAACAGCCAATGCATGATTGACAACAGCAGAAAAGCAGTAGGGAGCTTTCAGAGCTTTGGTGTCCAGCACTGCATGTACTTACCTGGGTCAGAACACTCACAAACATCGAGATTCATTTGATGAAAATGATGAGGAAATTCAGAAACTGCTGAATGAAAAATGAGAACTCCCGAGTCTTTACTAGCAGGATACTTCATCCATCTCTAAGAAGGCAGTGTTTAACTGCATCAAAAGTAAAGTGCAGGGGCAGCTAGGTGGCACAGTGGATAGAGCTCCAGCCTTGGAGTCAGGAGGACCTGAGTTCAAATCTAGCCTCAGACACTTGACACTTAACTAGGTGTGTGACCCTGGACAAATCACTTAACCCCTATTGTGTCACCAAAGAAAAAAAAAGAAAAAACAAGCAAGTAAAGTGCAAGCAAAGCTTAGAAAGATGCAGAATTCCTGACTCAGTAAGGAGACAGATAAAATTCAGTTTTACACTGACGGTAACAATCCAGGGTGCTTTTATGATGTTGTGAGGCTATTTGTGGGTCAAAGACCTGTGGGGCATCAGGTACTCAGTGCTAATGGTGCCACATTGATTAGTGATAAGGACGTGTTCCTGGAGAGATGCGCTGAATACTTCCATAGTGTTCTCAACAGACCATCATCCATCAGTTCTGAAGCCACTGGCTGTATACCTCAGGATAAAGTCAGTCACTCTCTAGCCAAAATTCCAACTGAAGAAGAGGTTTTGAATGCCATTAGGCTCCTCTCATTTGGCAAAGCTCCTGATGCTGATTCTGTTCCAAATGAGATTGATAAGGTGCGGGTCCACTGTTCATACAAATGCTGACTGAAATCTCCTAGGTTATATGGCAAGAGGAGGTTATCCCTCAGGAATTCAAGGATGTCTCCATTGGCCATCTCAGAAAGGCAAAGGAGATAGACTGTCTTGTGACGATGACGGTGTGGGTCTTATTCTTAGTCATTGCTGGCAAGATTCTTGCCAGAGTCCACGGGCTGATCTCTTCACTGGAAGATGGTCATTTACCTTAGAGCCAGTGTGGCTTCAGAAAGGGCTAAGAAACAGTCGGTATGGTGTTTGCTGCCCAACAACTTGGGGGGAAAATGCCATGAACAGAACATTTGTCAATCAGACCAAGGCCTTTGATACTGTCAGTTGTGAGGGCTTGTGGAAAATCAGTGACAAAATTTGGTTGCCCAGAGCAGTTCATCAGTATTGTGTGTCAGTTTCATGATGGCATGCTTGCCCGGGTTCTGGATAATAGAAAATGCTCTTTTGCTTTCTCAGGCAGCATTGGAGTGAAGCAGGGCTATGTGCTTGCCCCCATGCTTTTTACCATGATGTTTACAGCCATCTTGCTGTATACTTTCAACAAGGATGAAAATGACATCAGGGTCAGCTACTGCACTGATGGCAAATTATTTAACTTAAAAAGGATAAGCCAAGATGCAAGTGGAGAAAGTGTTGGGTGTGTGACTTTTTTCCCCCACAGATTATTGTGTGCTTAGTGCAGCCTCTGAGGCTGAGATGCAGCAGAGTATAGATCAGTTCTCTGCTGCTTATGCCAATTTTGGTCTATAAGAAAACAGAGGTTCTGCATCAGCCAACACCCATACATCCATACATGGAACTATCGGTTGTAACAAGTGGAGAAATTTTGGATACTGTGGGTAAGTTTGCTTATTTTATCAATATACTTTACAGCAATGTCCACATAGATGATGACATTGACACACGCATTGCCAGAGCTAGCTCAGTGTTTGGGAGACTGAAGGAAAGTGTGGGAGAGGAGATGGATTAGCCTGCCTAGTAAATAGAAGGTGTGCAGAGCAGTTGTGCTGACATTTGTTATATGCCTGTGAAATCTGGACAGTCTACCAGTGCCATGCCAGGAAACTGAATTGCTTCCATTTGAATTATCTTAGGAAGATTCTGAAGATCACCTGGCAAAGTAAGGTAATAACTAGACACTGGGTTCCTTTCTTGAGCTGAACTGTCAAGCATTCAAACTCTACTGCAGAGAGGGTAATTTCGGTGGGCTGGCCACATTGACCTAATGTTGACATAAGACTGTTTTAGGCAGCACTCATGCAAGGCAAGCACTCACATGGAGCTTAGAAGAAGTGATACAAGGCCATCCTCAAGGTCTCCCAAGAACTTTGGAATTGCTTATGAGATTTGGTAGATACTGGCACAGGACTGCCTGGCACTGGGTCCACATCAAAGAAGACACCATGCTGTATGTGCAAAGCAGAACTGCAGGAGCTCAAAAAGAATGTGAGATGCACAAACCTGGAGACATCTTTCCCCCCCAAATGTTGATATAGACTGTTTGTGCCTGATCTGTGGTAGAACCTTGTGAGCTTATTGGTCTCATCAGCCACAGTCAGACTCACTGTACCTTGACTCCAACATAGTGATGTCATTTTTGTCCTCTTGGAACACCCAGGACAACAACCAGCCAACCAACAAAAGACATAAGGCTTCGCTGACCGGCGTTTGGCTGCTGAGGCCCAGGCATGGCTTTGGTGGCTTCAGAACAGAAGCAGTTCGAGCTCACCTTTCCCTGTCTTCTCTTTTGACTTTATTCACAAACCAAAGTTTTCTTTCTTGTAACCAGATTAGAATTGATTATGTGTAACAGTCACCTGAGTGCAAGAGGACGCTGACCTGGCACGAATAGGACATTATACACTTCGATTAGAACCAAACTGGTGAAACAAATGATCAATCCTGTTACAGTGTACTCGACAGCCCTGGGCACTGAGGAGGGGTTATAGGGCTGTTGACTCTTGCTTTCTAGAAGCTCAGTCTTTGCACACACATAGCACATTACAATGGCAGGCTGTGTGACCAGTGCCAAATAAGAGAAATTAAGTCAGTCAGGAAGCGTTTAAGTGCTCAATATGTGCCAAGCACTGGGGAGGTAAAGAGAGGAACTTGAGGAACTCACAGTCTCACGACAAGCAAACAAAAATGTACATATAAGCTGTGTACATGGTAAATAGGGAATAAGAGGGAAGGCATTTAGAATTAAAATGGATTGGGAGAGGCTTCCTGTAGAAGATGGGATGTTAAACCAGGGAAATCAAAAAGTGAAGGTGAGGAAGGAGAGAATTGTAGTCATGAAAGATGGAAAGTGCCTAGAGCTGAGTGATGGATTGTCTTGTTTGTGGAACAGCAAGGAAAGCCAGTGTTACTCAATCAGAGTACCTGGGGGAGATATAAGGTATGAAAGGAATGGAAAGATTGGGGGAGGGGAATTGGTTACAAAGGGCTTTGAACACCACAGAGGATTTTGTACTTGTTAGAACATGATGAGGTCACTAAGTAATGTGTAGAAGGATAAGAAATGGCCCAGGACAGAACCCTGTGGGCCACCCATAGTGTCATCTATGAGGATCCAGCAAATGAGACAGACAGAGTGGTCAGAGAGATGGGAGGACAGCCAGAAGAGTAGTGTCCTGAAAACCTAGAGAAGAGGTGATAGTGTCAAAGGCTGTAGAAGAGTCAAGAAGGATGAGGATTGAGCAAAGGCCACTGGATTTGAAAACTAGAAGATCACTGGCAATTTTGGAGAGGGCAGTTTCAGTGAAATAGAAGGTTGGAATCTAGATTGTGGGAGGTTAAAAAGAGGGCAAAAGGAGAGGAAGTCACCTGTTGTAGATGGCCTTATCTGAGTTCATCTGTGGGAGGGATCAGGTGGAGGGCTTCAAGGAAGAAGGCTCCAGAGATAGGATAGAACATGAGGCCCTGCGCTTGGAAGTTGGGAGGGATGGATTCCATCACATTTGTGTCTGCTTGCCTGAACTTGGCAAAGTAAATGAATGGAAAAGTGCCAAATACTGTGGTAAAGTACTGAGGTACCAACAGAAACAGCGTTCTCATGGAAGAAACCAAGCAAGCAGGGGAGTGCTGACCAGGAATGGACACTTTGGTCCTAGTCAATGGAAACGTAAGGGAGGAGCTTGCCCTTTGATGCCCAGTGGCAGAGTCCACTTGGTTCTGCTTCTTGTACTGAGGATGTATGAGTATTGCTGGGGAGCAAGAAGTGAAATGTGGCATGTTTGGGACCTTCCTGAAAGAGTGGACCGAGGAGACTGTCTTCAGATATTTGAAAAGCCCTCATAGGCAGAAGTGTCTGGCACAGAGGAGGCCCTTCATAATTGTTTGTTGGTTAGGTGACCTTAAAGGGCAGGCCCAGAGGAATATAGGGAAGGTGCAGAGCAGCCGTTTTCTAACAGGAGGGGGAGAAGTCAAGGAGAGCTGAGCTTTTGAATCTAGCTGATTGGGGGAGCGCCATTGACAAAGGGGACAGTTTTAGTAGGTGGCTTGGGTTGGGAGACAGCCTAATGGAGATGTCGGACTTGAATTCAGGAGAGAGGTCATCTATCTGCATTGGTAGAAGCATAGAGTGAAGCTCCCCAGGTTGTATTTGCCCCAGAGCAGATTTAAAAGTGTTTTCCTCAAGCATTTGACTAATCTCAAGTACCCACTTGAGAGGGGTCATCCTCTTCCTTGCTGACCCCTTATCAAATCCTGCCCTCTGTATAAAGCTGTTCACAGGAAGAGACTTTGTCCTGTGATCTGATCTCTTGGTGTTTAATGGCATAATTTTTTGATTGACATTGAACAGCATAATTTGAGAAGACCCATTGAAACCTGAAAGAAGTACACAGAACAGGGCATTCAAAAGAAGTAGAATATTTGCTCAAGTTAATGTACATTTATGAACTCTTAGTTTATGGTGTCATGATCAATAATATTTTTTAAAAGTTTTTTCTCTTTAGGTGCTTGTGTTGATGGTAACTAATGGTAGAATGAGTTTTTGAAATGAAGACAAACAGTTTGTTCACAGGTCCTCCTGTCTGATTTGCTTTCAGGATTCTTTGAGATGAAGATGAAATACGATGAAAGCGATAATGCCCTCATTCGAGTATCTCGAGCAGTGACAGACAAGATTACAGATTTAGTAGGTAAGCAGACCATCCTCCCCCAGGACCCAGGAACCGAGGATGAGCACACTGCAGATACTTGTGACAGAGACTGCCATGCAGGTGGGAAGAGGAAGCTTCCAAAATCTGGGGTGCTGGGCCAGGTGTGGGGAGGTTGGTTGTACAGCCCACCACTGGGGGTGAGACCGTGAGGCTTGATTACAGAATCTCATTCATCAGGTGGCCTGTTCTCGAAGACAGAGATGTCTGAAGTTCTGACTGAAATCCTCAAAGTGGATCCAGCTTTTGACAAAGATAAATTTCTGCAGCAGTGTGAACGGGATATCATTCCCAATGTCCTAGAGGTAGGTGTTTCATGTGAAGCCCCTCAACACTTCTCCAGCATTTCTGCTTCTCAAGATTTTCAATTTCTTGTGAAGGCCTGTCAGTGAAACATTCACTGCTAACTGATCTGATTGAGGGACAGTCCTAGTCCATCAGTATCCTTTGACTCTTTAGGAGACCCATTAGGTATGTCATTGTTCTTAATTCCTCAGCTTTGGCTGATTAAAGATGAGGTTCATCCCAATCCCATCCCTGACTAGAGAGAGACTTTCAGGTTCTCAGAATACTATTCACTTTGCATTTCATGTGTGATCAGTGAAAGCCCTGGCCTGGCTTGGCCTGGGACCACCTGCCTCAGCAAGTGGGGGAGGAGGGGATGGAGCGGCAAGGAGAGTTTGTCCCACTGAGAAACTGGGGCATTACTGTGAATCCTGCTACTGTTAACGTAGCCCTCCTCTTTCAGGAAGTTTCTGCCTTTCTTGAATGGTAGTGAGGGGATCTTTTGATCATGCCATTTGATAGACTGGGAAACTGAGACATGGGCAAGCCACATTCGGGGGTAGATTCGAGATTAGAACCAGGTTTCCTGGCTCCTGATTTGACTTGCTGCTGAACTCTTACTCTGAACATTTTTGCCATTTTTCATATTCATCCATCAATTCAGCCAGTAATCTCTCGGTGTAGCTGAAGGAGATTTGTGGGTGATTAGCCCCTTTCTCTCCCTAGCACCTCCCCCTTGTTTCCCACCTTTTGGACAGTGACTTGTGATGGTTTGGGAAGATCATACAGAAGCAGACTTCAGAGGGAGACTTAAATTGTTCTCACAGTTTTGTCTTTGCTTTCTCTTACCTTTCTTGCAGGCCCTAACCTCCATAATTTCATTGGTCCATTTAGGACAAGACTCTCCCAGTTCCTCTTTGCTGACTAACTGAAATCTGGTCACTTGTGTGTTACAGAGCACATGTGCTCTGATGACCTGCTTTGTTGATTGTAGCTTTGCTGCCAGAAATAGAAACGATAAAGGAGGCATGGGGTTGTGTGTTAAGTCAGCGCGTGTGTCTTTCTGGACTTTGGTTGGGTATTCCTTCCCTTTCTGATGAATTAGGCTGCAACTCTCATGTTCAAGTGTGTGTGACATCTTTCTGTTTATCTGTTTGTCTGTCTGTCAAGGTTCTCTTGGGATAGTCCCCTGCCCAGTACCACCCGCAGAAATTAGAGACACAACCTTGTCTGCACTCTCCCACTCTCAGATGTCTGGGGATTGTAGATTCATTTGCTGAGAAGGCCAAAACTTTCCCCAGTGGCTTCACACCCTGGCAAACCTTGCCTGAGCTTTGTAAGAAAGGGGTTTGTTATTGAGGTATCTCCATACCTAGCTTTTGTAATAGCCACAACTGAGGGTAAGGGGGGTGGACTAGGTTTTGGTGACACAGGAGCTTGGGGAGAAGGGCTTTGTACATGAACGGTAGCCCCCGACACCAGTCCTCTTTCTTCCCCATCCAGCTCTTAAGTGCTTCCTGCCTAAAAGCTCTCCCTGGTAGTTTAACAGCTGCCCAAGGACTCCAGACGTTCAGCTGAGGCTCTGATAGCGGGGGGAGGCAGCACTGACAGCGCTGTTGTTAAAACTTGTGCTCAAGAAGCTGCTTCTTGCAGGCTTGCTTCCCCAAAAGTCTCCTCTTCCAGCTCATGCTTTTCATTTTCTTTTTTAGGCCATGATTACTGGAGAGCTGGATATTCTCAAAGACTGGTGCTATGAAGCAGTAAGTTTTCACATTTTTGATTTCTGGACTTTTGGAAAATTAAATAAATGTGAAGAACTAGTGGCAGGTTAGGGATTTTTTTAGAGCGAACATGATCTTAGGTTCTCTTAAAGAAGTTTAGTGTCCACTGCAAGGGAAAACGTTAACAGGATGGAGCCTGTCCAGGGGAGGGCTGCCAAGCCAGCAAGCAGACCCTGTGATGGATCAGGTGAAGAAACTTGAGGGTGTGAAGGCTTAGGGTAGATGTGAGATCTGCCTTCAGGAATTTGGAGGGCTGTAGATGAGGGCAAAGACACTAATTAACTGGCTTGGTGTGGGCCCAGAGGGTGGTGGGATTGGGAGCAGCAGTGAGAAGTACAGAAGCAGATAAACAGCTCACGGTAAGGAGGACTTCCCAATTATCTGAGCTTTCAAAAAAAGGGAGCTGCCATCTGACGCCAGATGGAGCAGACTTCCCTGTCATGGGAAATCTGCAAGCAGAGGGTAGCTGAGCACTGCTCAGGGCTGTCACTGCTGGCCACCAGAATGCCATCCAGCCGTATGATCTGTGGCCTTCAGATTTCTCAGGTTTTACAGAAGTACTAGCAAACTCCAGCATCTCATCAAATACCAGAAATCAGAGAGGCAACATGGGTCATCAAATGCCAAATAAAACCTTGACCTCCAAACTATTTGCATTTTGACAAAATTACAAATTCTAACGAAACAGTCACAATAATAACTCATTTACAGTTATTCTCTTTGAGAAACAGAACGGTCATTTCTATTTCTCCTGCAGTGCTGTCCACAAGGCTTCCACAGACCTGCAGCCTTTGGAGTGACCCACCCTTTAGCCCCACAGATTCTGTGAGCACTAAGTCTATTTATTAAGGAGATGTGTTCTGTGAAGTTTGGATTCAGTCAGAGGGCCGAACTTGAGGACCTAGAGGGCCACATGTGGCCTCGAGGCCGCAGGCTCCCCACTCCTGGAAGTGCTTGTGCTGGCCATTTGTTACCCCTTGCTTTTACTTAGTCACTGAACCACCTTTTCCAATCCTGTTTCCTTGACTGTGAAACTTCCACAAGTCAGCAGTATGCTGCATCCTCCTTGCGCCCACTTCTCGGGATCGCCTTTTACATCACCCATGGTTCTGACTCCTTGAATAATGGAGTTTTCAGGAGTGATAGCTGTATAGCATCACCAGGAAAATATTGTTGCTAAAACAACTTGATTTGGGGTCATAAACCAAATTGAGGTAATTAAAGAGACCATGCAGTTTCCCAGATGCAAGCAACTCCTCTTTCTCCCCTTCAGTTCTGGGCCCAGTGTGTTGTCCATCCGTACGGTGCCACTCCGCATTAAGTGTAGTGAAGGACTGATTCCTTGGTCCAGCCTTTCCAACTGTGTGTGTGTGTGTGTGTGTGTGTGTGTGTGTGTGTGTGTGTGTGTGTGTGTGTACCGGACAGTTGTCAGGTAGCATTCTCTTTGTTGAGTGATGGTTTAATTTACATACAATAAACATCAAGCTGCATTGGTATATAGAGCTGTGTTCCCAACACCGGTGGAGGTACAGATTTTAGGTAAAAATATAGCCCTTGCCTTCATGGAACTTAATGTGATACAACCTAGGAAGACAGACTTTGAATATTGGCATGGCAATTAGCTGTGTGCCAGAGGACCAGCCCAGTGAAAGGCAGACAGACCCATCACCATCAGCTGAGGCTGCTCAGGAGAGAACCTGCATGCCTGAAGCAGAAGAGGGGTGACTGCTCCAGGATGCATGGGGTATTAGTGTGGACGGTGACACCCTGGGGACCTTCCTTGCTCTTTTGAGCTGGCTTGTTCCTCAGACAGCAGGCATCACATGTCCCGCATGTTCAGACCTGACAGATCTTACATCCTGCTAGCACAGCCTTCTGAGCTGCTTACGTTCTATTGGTGGACGTGATGGGTACATGGATAAATAAACACAGAAGGTTTTTAAAAAGTAATGTAAAATAATTTCAAGAAGGAGAGAGCGGCGCCAGCTGAGGGGATCAGCAGATGCCTGATATGTGTTGGAGGTGTTACCTTAGCTGAGACTTGAAAGAAGCTCGGAATTCCAAGAGACAGATGGAGGTGAGGAGGACACGTATCTCACATGTGGGCAAGGTGCTTTGCCAAGGCCCAGAGGTTGAAGGTGACTGCTTATCATCTCTGTTTAGTGGGGACTCTTTTGACGGATGGATTGGATTAAGGCCCAGTGCCTTTTCAACTCTGGAATTCTGTGAGATTCAGTGTTGTGAAGGGGCAGCCTCAAGCAGGCAGGTTTGATTAGAACGGAAAGTACGTGGAGGGAGTAATAAGAGATGAGCTTTGGAAAGTAGGTGAGATCGTCAGAGCATGGAGAATTTGAAATGATTTTGTATTTTGTCCCAGAAGTGATAGGGAGTCACCAAAGAATTTTGAGTTGAAGGGGCAGCTAGGTAGTGCCGTAGATCGAGCTTCAGCCTTGGAGTCAGAAGGACCTGAGTTCAAATCTAGCCTCAGACACTTGAAACTTACTAGCTGTGTGACCCTGGGCAAGTTACTTAACCCAATTGCCTTACCAAAAACAAAACAAACAAAAAAAGAATTTTGACTTGAGAGTGACAAGGACAGATCTATATTTTTTAAATATCATGACAAATGTACAGGATGGGTTAGGGATAAAGGACCATAGAAGCAGAGACCAATTAAGAGGCTGTTTCAGTAGTCCAGCCCGGTCAGGAGGCAGTGAGGACGTTTAATTAGAGTAGAGGCTGTTTGTGTGGAGATAGCATCAGCAAGATAGGGAGAGGGGAGAATCAGAGATGATACTGAGTGACTGAAAAATGGTGGCATTCTCAACAAAAATGGGGAGGTTGGGAAGAGAGATAGATTCTGGAATGGAAAAGAGTTCTATTTTGAGCAAGTTGAATGTAAGGTACTTGGGTGATATGCAAATGGAGAGGTCTAGCAGGTAGCAATGTGGGATTGGAGGTTAGGATTAGACACGCAGATTTAGGAGTCATGGCCAGGGAAAAGCATGATAATTAAGGGAATGAAGTTAAGAAGGGCCAACAGACAAGTGGGAGGAAAACCAGGAGAGAACAGTGTCGTGGAGACCGAGGTGTTCAGCAGCATCACAGACTGCTGTGACTTAGTGGTGGAGATCATCAGTCACCTTGAAGCATGCTGTGAGGTTACGAGAGAAGAGAGAAAATGGGGGGAGCAAGTGTAGACAACTCTGGGATTTAGGTTGTGAAAGGGAGTTGAGACACAGGCTGTTAGCTTTGGGGATGACTATATCAAATGAGCATGTTTATAGACTGGGGCAAAGGAACTGGCATATGTGGTGAGGGGCAAATAAGTGTTTTTCTTTTAGCAAATTTGTACTGCATTCCAGCATTCTCGGATGTTTGGGGGCAGAGGGGTCTTTAGCATTGCATTCATCAGAGAATGCTCACAGACTCCCGGAAAAAGCAGTCTGGTCATTTCCTCTCGCTTGTCTGTTTAGCAGCTGAAACGTGCCTCTCCCAGGCTCCTGACAACCTCAGGCCTCATCCCTTTTAACCTCTCTTTAGCCATTGGCACTGTCAGCCCTCCATCCTCCTCACACTCTCTTCCCTCGGCTTCTGGGTCACTCTTTCTTGGTCCTCCCACCTCTGTGACCACTGTTCACTGTCTTCTGCTGTGTCATCGTCCTCTTTCTACCTCCTGATCCTTCGTGGACATTTCAAGTGGTGGCTCAGATTCATCAGTCCAGAGCAGAGCTTGTTTTCTTTCCCAGCTCTCCCCTCCTCTGAATTTGCTGCTTTCTCTTGAGGGCACAAGCATCTTTTCCCTTCGACTCCTCATTTTTGCTCAGCAGCTGCCCAGTCGTGTCATTTCTGCCTCCATCAGCTCTCTTTTCTGTCCCGCTTCTCACAAATGTCCCCTTATATCACCTCTCACCTATACCAGGACTGTTGTGACAGGCACCTGGGCGATCTTCCATCCTCAGCATCCCACTGTCCTCCTTGGGGCTGTCAGGGTGACTTTCCTAAAGCACAGATTTGACCGTGTCATTCAGCTAATCAGGAAGCTGCCTCCCTTGTGGAATGTGAGCCCTTGTGGGCAGGGTCTAGGCACTTCTGTCTCTGGTACTCAGTACCATGTGTGGAACAGGTGCTTTAGAAGTGTTGGTGAGGGGTGAAGAAGCAGGTGGGCTTGTGACTAGTTTTGTGAAAGCTGTTCTTCTTCCGGGCCTCACGATGCCTCACCACCGAGGTATCTTTGTTTCCTGGGCAGATGCCCCTGGCAGGAGAGAGGATCTTTACAACAGGTGAAACAAAACACGGCAAAGGAAAGAGCCCTGCTGTCACTGGGTTTCTGCAGCTTCCACGTGTCTGATCCGTGGGTGTCATCACCAGATACAACCAGCAGAGGGCCTTCCTGCACCTGCCATGTTCTGGGCCTAGGATCCAGCCGCTCTTCTTCCTCCAGTCCCCACCTTTGGGTCTTCCCTTCTTATCTTTGTGTCCACAAAGGTTACTAGGGGTTTTCAGAATACATCTTCCCCTGCCTCACTGGGGTTTGGGGTGATCCTGTGTCCTTGAAGGTCAGCAGGAGCATAAGCTCTGAGAATATTTTCTAAGGAGTCAGAAGGGCAGCAGTCATCAGCCTGGAGAGGAGTTGGGTACGTGAGGACCAGCCCAGCAGAGTGCAGACATGGTACATCCAGTCCATCCCCATCCACTGAAGCTGCTTGGGAGAGGGCCTGCATGGCTGCTTTGAGGATCCATGATGTTTGCGTGAGGGGTACACTCCCTTCGGCAGGGCACGTCGAGCCCCTGTACTCTTTGATTTTCTTTGTGAAGTTGCTGTGACTGTAAATTCATCCCCTCGTCGCCAGCCTGGCGCTGTGTACTTAGCGTGGTTGGTCCTCAGACAGCAAGCTTCATGTGTCATCAAGACCCTGGTCAGAACTTGTCCAGCTTATTAGGACTCAAATGAAGGCAAGGAAACTCAGGGAGGAGGGATATGCAGGAATAAAGAAAGGGACAGTGCCCTAAAGTACCAGACTCAAGCATGTCTGTGTCCTAATGCACAAGATCTGTGAACCTGGTCTGCCTACCCAGGCCAAAAGTCCATCCCATTAGTCTGGGCCAGTGTTCTCAGAATACTGAGAGGTTAGTTTAACAAGCTAAACTCAGTCACCTCCCTCGTTGTAGAGTGATTACATAGTTGACTCAAAATCCATAAGACTACATATAAATTGATATCAAATAATTCCCCTGGGAAAAGGGGGGGTTAATGAGGTTGTCTTCATTGCCAGATTGCAGGGACAGCATAGGAATGGGTTGGGGTGGGGGTATGCTGTAGTGGGAAGCCTAATAGCAATAATAATAATCATAATAACTTAACATTTACATAGTGTTTACTGTGTGCCAGACGGGCAAGTAGACAGCACAGTGGATGGAGTTCCAGGCCTGAAGTCAGGAAAACTCATCTTCCTGAGTTGAAATCTGGCCTCAGACAACTTACTGGCTGTGTGACCCTGGGCAAGTCACTTCACCCTGTTTGCCTCAGTTCCTCATCTGTAAAATGAGTTGGAGAAGGAAATGGCAAACCACTCCAGTATCTTTGCCCAAGAAAACCCCAGATGGGGTCACGGAGTCAGACGCCGCTAAAAGCTTTACAGTTATTATCTCATTTGATCCTCACGACAACCCTGGGAGTGAGGCACTATTAATATCAAATTTCAAATGAGGAAGGTGAGGCAGAGGTGAAGTGACTTCTCCAAGGCCTGTGCTAGAAAGTATCTGAGGCCAGATTTGAACCGAGGTTTTCTTGGCTCTAGGCCCAGTAGAGGGAAATCAGGGGACCTTTAGTTCCTACCTCTTCCCTCATCCTAAGAGTTATCATCAGTGATCTCCCTCGAGTTATTTGAGGTCTTAGAGCATGACCCATGCCCTCAACCTTCAGGCTTCCTGATGTAGCCTCACCCCTTCCGAATTTGCTCTTATCCCCTTCCCCTGTATCTCATCCTACTCGGCCTTGGTTCTCTGCTTCTTCGTATTAAGCAACTTCAAATCTCTTTTGGCTAATTTTGCTCTGTACTCATCTCATAAACAGTGGGGGAAAACAGAGGAGGAGATGTCAGACCTTTGAAGCCCTCCTCTGCATTGTGACTAATATGAGATGCTTTGTGTGAGAGGCTTGGGGTTGGCTGAGATGGCTGAATATCTTTGTTAAAATGAGAGAAGATGACTGTGCCAATGAAGCTGTTGCTAGGATGGAGGCTACTGAGAGGAAGTTTTAAAAGTAACATGTAAGATGAGCCCTTGTTTCTCATAAGACTGAATTCTAGTTAGAGAAAAATACATGTAGCACATTCATGTTCTCACTGCCAACAGCTGCCTTCAGAGCTCAGACTCCTGTCTAGACCCCAAATCAGGCTACTCTGGGGGCTGTCAGAGCAAATGAGATACCACAGGGTTGAGATGAAGATGGAGAACAAAGAAACAAGTACCATTTTTAGTCTAATTGAATTTATTTGATCTCTCCTCTCCAGGCTGTCACAGGGTTTGCATCACTGCAGTCTGTGCCTCCCTGTCCCACATGCCTCCCCCAAACCCCACTGAAAATTGGTGCTTTCCTCCCGATGTCCACTTTTTTGAAATGATGGTGACCCTGCTTTTGTCTTACCTGTGTCTCCTTTCTTGCAGACGTACAATCAAGTAGCTCATCCCATCCACCAAGCAAAATCCATGGGCCTGCAGTTCCATTCCAAGATTCTGGACATCAGCAATGTTGATGTAAGTCCCTTAGGTTTTCTCCTTGCTATACAGAAGTCAGCTAGACTCATAGGACTCTAATGGAGCTTTGAGATCATCTAGCCCAGGGGACCTTCACCTGGGGATCTGTGAATTTGTTTTAGGGTTGTTTTTTTTTTTTAATATTTTGGTAACTGTTTTAGTGTAATTGCCTTTCTTTGTGGTCCTATGTATTTAGTTTATGCATTTTAGACATCTGAGAAGGGAGTCCATAGATTTCAGCAGACTTCCTAAAGGGTCTGTGAAATAGAAAAGGTTAAGAACAGCTGATCTAGGACAGCTTGTCTTGTCTTACAGAGGAGTGGGATGAGGCCTGGAAGAAGGGCAATGACTTGCCCTCAGTCATGAAACAAGTTCCTGGCCTAGCTAGGACCCAACCTCGTGTCTCTAAAATGCAGGCAGCGAGTTGGTGTTGCACACAGACACAGTTGGGATCAATGTAAGGAAAAGTTGCCAAGAAATTAGCTGCCCAGTGTTGAATTAACTGCTTTGGGAAGTACAGAGTTCTAGACTAAATTGTAAAGGGAAGTCACAGAAGATTCTTGCTTAGGTGTGAGTTTGATTAGACGCCCTCAGAGGTCCCTTCCACCTCTACGACCCTATGGCTCCAATTCCTACCTGCTGCCTCACACTCTCCACCCCTAGCTTAGCATGGGCTTGTATATGTTAGGACTTCTGAAATGATTACAGCTTCAGCCTTTGTTCCCTAAGGAGCTCTTAAACCAGTAAACTTGATCTCAGCATTGTAAAGAGGAATAGCTTGGCTTTCAGAATAACAGCTGCTAGGAAAGGGGTGTCTGGACCCATTTCTTATAAGAGGGAAGTATCCTCTAGTGAACTTTGGTGAGGCATTATGGCTCCATTGGGGACCTGGTCCCATCTGGCAAGCCTGGCCTAGGTGGGGAGGCCCATTGAGACATTACGGTCTGTTCTTTACCCACCCAGTGTAGTTGTGACTGTCCTGCTACTGGCTTTTCCTGTGGCAGGCAGCCAGGATTTACAAACTCACGACTGACAGGTGCAGCTCAGGGTTTTGTGTCCATTCTCTCCAGCCACACACACTCAGTTGAAACGAGGGCGAGGGCAACTGCATCTGTCCCCTCTCCTTTTGGGTTTGTCATGAGCTGCTGGGAGGAGGAGAATACTTGAAACGGGGCTGGCAGTGGTGAGATCTCTTTATTGGATCAGGAACGGGGCAAGCATCGTGTCGCCCAGGTGGTGATACCTGCCACTTGGTGTAAGAGGAAACACTTCAAAATTGGTCAAGCTGAGCAGAGAGAGCCAAGCCTGCCTGCGGCCCCTCCTCACAAGATTTTGATTTTCTGCTGGATCTTGGCACCTAAGACCCTACAGAGAAACCTGTTCATTTTCTCTACAGAACTGGAGTCACTGAGTCACTGGTTACAGAACCCTAAGCTTCCTTCTGAAGCAGGGGTCCTTAATCATTTTTGGTTCCGGAACCAAAACCAGTCTAGTGAAGCCTGTGGACCCCTTCTCATAACAGTGTTTTTAAATGCCTAAAATAAAATTACAAATGAAACCAGTTCTATTTCAAATATTCTGTCCAATTCTTTTAATAGCCCTGGGCTGAGAGCACCTGTTCTGAAGGGGTTTGGGATAATGTTCTTGAACTCTTGTCTGGCAGATGAAGTTCCGCATGAGGAGCTTTGGATAACTTTTTTTTTTTAATTTCTGAAGATTGTAGCCCCTGGATATGTTTGCCCTGACCCAGGTTCAGGCCTTAGGCATCCAGGACCCAGAACCTCTAGGTGCTAGTCTAGTTCTAAGGCCACAGGGTGTTGAGTGCCTCAGGACACTGATCTCTGACTCTAACTATAGGGCGTGGAGCCTGCAGGCAGAGCGCTGAAAAATGGCCTGCCTTTAGTGACCAGACCTTCCTAGAACGTACTAGGAAATTCAGTCATTCTCATTAACCCTTAAAATGCAGGACCTTCTCCAAGGACTCCCAGAAAATACAGTTTAATGAATGGTGATTGGAAAGGCCTGGCAGTCATTGACCTTGGGGCCTGCAACAGGAGGGTGAGAGGTGGGCCTGGGGTGGAGGCATCACGTGAAACCCAGGAACATCTCTTGGGACTGGAGGGGGCGACAGAGCCAGTCACCTAGGCCTGCCCTCTTCCCAGTCTCCCCCAGTGTGTGAGCTGGGCTCAGAGCTACGTCCTCTTCCTGAACATGTCAGCCAAGGCTGAGAGCTTGTGCTGGCTGCTTCAGACATCCGACTGAGGATGGCGTTGGGGGTTGTGGATGCCAGGAGAGAATTTGCTGAGAGAGCTGTTCTGAAGCTTGAGATAAGACAGATTAACGGGGAGGGCTTTGCAGAACAGAACCTGCTGAGCCACCAAGGAGTGAGGTAGTGTTTTTGTGGGTTGTCACTGTGAAGGATGTCAAAAAGGGAGTCTGAACGAGCGTCATGGCAGCATCACAGGAAGCTTTGTGGTGATGAGGGGCATGCAGTCTGACTGTGTGCAGAGGCTGGTCAGTCTTCCCTGTAACTGAGCAGGAGACAAGAAGGACTGCCTCATTTTCCCACTGCTGTCTCTTCCTGTGGCAGCATGGGCGGACACTTCTCATCACTACCAAAGCTGTTGGTGGTGTGTTTTTTCCCCTTTGTTTTGCCTTCACTGCAGCTGGCGATGGGGAAGATGATGGAACAGGGACCGGTACTAATCATCACGTTCCAGGCACAGCTAGTGATGGTGATCGGGAACCCCGACGGGGAAGTGGTAGAAGGAGACCCGGTAAGTGAAGGCATAGGAAGAACATCAGGACTGAAGGGGGCTCGTGCTATTGTTCATATGAGGAAACTGAGGCCCACAGAGCCAGTCTATGGGCCAAACTGGCAGTAGACCCCAGATCTCCTGATTTCCCAAGTCCAAGGCGCCCCCCCCCCCAAGCTGATGAATCCATATAGGCTCTAGTGATTTCCTAGTGCCCAGGCCTGACTCCAGCATAGCTCTTTGGCTTAGTAGCCCATCTGGTTTTCAGATTGGATCAACAAATCTTCATGGTTGATTGACTGGATATGTCAGTAGTAGCCAGGGAGGACTGGCTGCTCTGTGGCCTTATTGCTCCATGGCCCCTCACTTGTTCTGGTGCAGCTAAGCCGGGTATAGGAAGAATGAGCCACGTTCTGGTGTGCCCTTTTGGGACAGGTGTCCCATTCACTCACTCAGCACCTTTCTTGAGAACCTCCTCTGTCCTCACAGCCTCCTCAAGGTTCGGTCCTGGCTTCAGCAGGGAGGCTGACCTTGAGGAGGGGGGGGCTGCCTCCAGTGTTTGACAGCTTCTCTCCATGAGCTGCCTCATGAAAAACACAAGGGGGAATCTTAACAATCTGTTAATGAGGAAGAGTTAGCTAGTCCACTCCTCAGTCTGCTGTTTGGACTATACTTCACTTTTCCACAATAAACACTGGTTATATTTTTCCACCTTCCAGAGAAGATAACATCATCACTAATGCCTGACCGTGTTTTAATGACCTGAGTTCTCCTTTAAAACCGCCTCAAACCCTACCTAATGTGGCTGGAGCTCCCCTCTTATTTCATGACTTTTGGGAATGGTTCCTTTTTACCATGTCAGAAGCATATGAAGCTTCTCTTTAGATTTTTCATCTCTGGGAAAATGATCTAATTGTTTTTCTTAGAAGGCCTCTGCCTTTGTCTAGGACCATAGGAAATATGGTTTGGGGGATAAGGGCAGCCCAGGGAAGGTGTTTTTGAGGGTTAGAGGGATGTGGTTTGGGAGCACTCCAGCTTGGGCTTCACAGAAGCCCTTATCAGTACCTTGGTTTCCATCCAACTTAGGACTTAGTGACTTGGGGATTGGATTTTCTGCTTCTGGTTTGCTTGTAGCTTCATCAGGGGCTTGGATGGGGTCCCATTCCTCTTCCTTACCTGTCCTTCCATCCCTAACCATACATCTCAGTTGCCTAATTCCCAAGATACAGAGGAATTCATATCTTGGGAATCCTGGGGAGAATGGTCCAGCTGAACAGTAGCTGTTTTGAGTTAAGGGCCACCCTCTAGTCTCATCCCGTGCTGTTCTACCCTCACAGATCAGGTCCTGGGCCTGAGCCACGGCCTTCCTTGCGCCCTGTAACAAAAAGTCATCCATATAAAACAGTACCTCATAGTGAATTAGCTCAGCACTGGCATCTGAGGATCTCTGCCCATATAGCCTGGTATCAGGCTCCATCAGTTTCCATTATCCCTTGGCCTCTTACTTCATTATGTTCACAGTGAAACTGAAATGGAATGTTTTGGTTCCCAGTAGCTGGTGGGTCAGATAAAGCTCAGAGCAGTACAGTACCCTCTTAGGCAGCAGAGATTATATTCAGGCCTTGGTACCTGGAAGAGCTCTAGGAGGACATGGGTCCTGTCCTGGGTGATGCATTCTGCTTCCATGAACTCCATGATTTTCTTTCATTTCTCAGAGTCACCTCTGCTATGGCCACCCATCCCCGCATGAGGGGGCCAGTGAGGCCATTGCTGGTTTGCACTGTGCTTGAGGCTGTGCAGCAGGTTTGCTTAGGGCATCGGCCTGGGGAGCTGAGAGCACATTCTAGGCACATTGCTCAATTCTGTAGCAGCATGTAGCCTTGGGCTAGGAGTTACATAGCAGATCCATAATCCCAGTTCAGATATTCAGTAGGAGCTCTGTGATGAAGGGGTCTTAGCTGTAGAGCAGAGGAGGAGTTCAGGGGCCATCTGGTCCAACACCCTCAATTTCCTTTTCTGCAGAATGGGGATAATATTTGGAGTATTGCCTCAAAGTGCTGTAGAAATGTAATGATTACTAACTATAGCAAACTGAAATACGTTCTCTAGAAAATATATAAATCTTAGAGCTGGAAGGGACCACCATGTCATTTTACAAGAGATGAAGCAGAGGTTGATAGAATGGTTCGAGAACTGGCCTCACCCAGGGAGTCAGTGTTAGACCTGGTACTTAAACGCAGGGTTAGTGATCCATGCCAGTGGTAGGCCTGTTGGAGAAGGGCCCAGTTCTGGTCTTGGGTCTTTCTAGTTACGGCAGCTGGAAGACAAAGAGGTAGAGGTGGGTAGAGAAGGAGCTGGAGATGAACCAAGGCAGAAGCCAAGAGTAGGGCAAAGAAGACCTAAAATTTAGGGGTACAAAATTGTTTAGAGGTCACCTAGTCCAATGAGGAAACTGAGAAAAAGTCACAAAAGTAGCAGGGTGGTTAGCTAGCCCGCTGTTCCACGAGCAGTGAAGGTCTTTGTACCGGCAGGCACCTGCGGATTGGTGGCTGTTGTCCCCTTACCCCACATTAGCTTGGAGACAGCTGGCTCCCCTTGCCCTCTCTGCTCCTGCAGTCAGTTGGCTTCTCCGGAGCTCGGTACGTTTCCCAAGGGACGTCAGAGGCGGCTTTGGCAGCTACCTAGGCTTTTTTTTTCTTATATCTGTCAGTGCATTTGGTCTCAACAGACACTTCCCAACAGTTGCTCAGCCTGTCCCTCTTCAGCCCCCTGAAAGCACACTTCCCGAAAGCAGTTTAGCAAAAGCACCCGATAGAATGATTGGTACTGACGGTCCCCTTCTGCTCTTTTAGTTCACAGAGAGGGCGGGTGTGGACGTCAGCTGTGATGCTCTAGTCATTTGTGCTGTGGTCGAGTCTGATTGACTTTTGTTTTTCTTTCTTCTGTCCTAGTCTTCGTCTCTCTTTGTCTCCCGGCTTCGCCTCCCTTTCCTGTCTTACTCTCCACACGTGTCTTCCCTCGTTTTTCTTCGTTCTTCGCATTCATTCAGTGTGGTCCACTGCCTCCATTTACCACAGTCTGCACGTCCTCCGTCTTTGTCCTCCCATAGTAGGCTCCAGTTGCTGGGCTTGTTGAACTTTGCTGCCAATGACTTCCTTGGGAAATAGACTGGATCCTGAGATCTCTGGGTCAGAGGGAACGAGGTCATGCCGTCACTTCTCTAGAGAATTCCCAGTTGTTTTCCAGAGTGCTTAAGCCAGTACATAGTTCCCTGTGCAGTGAATTCAGCATACTCATCACCCACCCTGCAGTTCCTCTAGCACTGATTATCCCTTTCTTCCCTCATTTGAAGGCTTTTCAGTCTGTATTTCAGAGTTGTTTCAGTTTGTATTTCTCTGATTATTAGTCGTATTGAAATTTTCCAAGTGATTATTGATTGTATTTCTTTGTGAAAACTTTTCACATACTTTGATCACTTGTCTGTGGCTCTTAGTCTCACAGATTTGTCAGTTCCTTAGGAATTGCGGATGGCGGGCTTTTGTCCAATATTTAATGAGAAAATTCCTGGCTGTCCCAGCCCTTGATAGTACACCTTCTCTTTGGCTTCACACAATAGCTCTGTGAGGGAGGGAGGACGGGGAAGGACTGTTCTCTCCATTTCACAGGTAAAGAAGTTCAGACTCAGAAAGGAGAAGTTGGAAGGTTTGTGAACTTGCCTACTTAGACTGTGGTTGAGTCAGGACTAGAACCCAGACATTCTGACTGCCACTTCTTCATAATAGCGATATGATAATGATAATTGGCATTTATATATCACTTTAAGACGTGCAAAGTACTATACAAATACCATTTAATCTTTACAACAACCCTGAGAGGTGGGTGCTGTTCCCATTTTTTGCAGGTGAAGAAACTGAGACAAGGAAAAGTTAAGTGACTTGTTGTTCAAGGTCAAATAGTAATGTCTGAGGCAGGATTTAGACTCGGTTTCCCTGACTCCACATCCACTGCCATATCCACTGGCCCAGCTAGCAGCCTTCTGACATTGCTGTATCTTCTGAGAGCTCGGAACGTCCAATAGTAGAGGCTGGTACTGTTCTTGGAACAGCCTCATGTGGGGAAGGCAGTGTGAGGTCATGCTAGGAGAGAGACTGTGTTAGGGGCTGGTTCCACTGTCGTCTGAGGCCTGCCGAGGGGCAGAGGGAAGAGGAGAGAACCTACCCTGTCTTCAGGGCCTCACTTGAGAGGTGCTGGGAGGATGTGAGGAAACAGAAAGTGGTGGCCTGGAAGCTAGGCCAGGTGGGAGATTGTGCAGAGCCGGAGGCCTTGAAAGGGAGCAGCTGCCTGAAGGGGGGCTTTTCTCTGGCTCTTTCTGCTGGTGTCTGCCCCCACCGTTCTGAATTCCTAGAATTCTGTCCCCAGAGATGCCGTTTGACAGAACCGTGCCATCCCCCAGGTTGATCTCCTAGACTCCAAGAACTATGGTATGTCAGATCTAGGGGACCCTTCGGGTGCCTTGCTGAACACCCTCTTTGTTATAGGAGGGTCCTGAGCACAGAGAGGCTGTGGCTGTGGGCACTTACTGAACAAAGTGAGTGTCTCCTCTATCCTCCCTCAGCCTCCTGGGAACTCAGAAGTCTTTGTTTTAGGGTGTTTTGTCTGATTTGTATGTTCAGCACCTGAGACGATGCCCCCTAAACCATAGTCCTCGAAGGACTGACCAGAAATTCAGTTCCTTTCAGCAGACTTTAATCCAGGTGCAGGGGATACAGAGACAAAAAAGGAAACGGCCTCTGCCCTCGGAGGGTCCATCATAGTAGGGATGACAACAACATGTGCATAGACAAATGAACACAGACTGTACAGAGAATGGTAAAGAGAGGGGATCAGGAGAGGCCTCGTGTGGCAGTGGGGCTTCCAAGAAGCAGGGGGCGGGGGGCAGGGCGTGGAGCATCCCCAAGAGGGGCCAGTAGGGAGGTTGTTATGGCTGGAACACCAGCTGCAGGAGACTGCAGCTGGCATCCTTTCTCCCACAAGACCAAGCGGAGCACCTGAAAGGATCGAGCCTTGTCAGGCTGGACACAGCAGGATGGACTCTCACTGCCACTCCTTGCTGTAGTAACACTGATTGAATGCCCAATTTCTCCGTTTTCCTGACATCTGTAGCCCCACAGGCTGTCTGTTTCTTCGTGAGAGTCCAGTTGCTGGCTGGCCACCTGTGTGCCCAGCGGAGTAACTGAGGAGAGCATTCTAGTACCTGGAGAGAGAGAGAACAAAGGAATGGACATGCCATTTAGCCTCCTGATCCTCAGTTTCTTCATTTGTAAAATGGCATCTGAGCTCCCTTCCAGCTCTTAGATCTGTGATTCAAGACAACAACAAACTCATTCATTTACTGGGCCTTGGCTGGGACATGAAAGTCAAATGTAAATGATAGCTCTCCATTGGAGCACATGGGTTCCATCTGGCATTGGAGGGTTGCTGTGAGTGCAGTCTTGGGGTCTAGCTCTGGTAGGAAAGCACAAGGATGGTTTGGGTAGCACTGTGGCTGTGCTCTACAATGATCCCAAACATATTTTTTCTAGTCCCTTGTGGAATTGTAGATCATGAGTTAGTCTAACCAGGGGTGGGGAACTTGTCGGGTCCTTGGCTCAGCCTTTTGACCGAGCCTGAGTTTTACTGAGGGGATTTGTTCTGTGAAGTTTGGATTCAGTCAAAGGGCTGCACCTGAGGACCAAGAAGGCCACGTGTGGCCTCGAGGCCACAGCTTCCCCAACCTTGGAACTGGTGCTCTGTCGCTGCCTGCGTGAAGCCGACAAGACAGCTTGCTTTGTTCTCCCAGATACGTAAAGCCAAAGTTAGGAGCCCTGGTTCTCCTGGTGACAAGTTGGATGTCCCCAGATGTCCTTTCGGCTTCTCACATGCCAAAATGAAGGAGTTGGACTGGGTGGCGTCCCAGACTCCTTCCAGTTCTGGTATTCTGTGGTTCGGATTCTTCCAAGTTTCAGGGAGTTAGCCTTGTGCTCCTCATGGAGTTCGTTCAGCCTGTCTGTAAACTAAATAGTGTAGAGGGGTTTTGGATTCTCCTTTCTGGGCCCCGCTTGTCCTCATGGCAGTCTCTCTGTTTCCTTTCCCTTTACTAGACCCTCCCCCTTGGTGGACAGATGAGGATTTTGTAAGCTGGGTTCCCATTGTGCTTGCTGGCCTTTGGGCTTATTGCTTATGGGACTGCAGAGCCTAGTTAGTCTGAGATCTCAGAGCCCCTAAGCATGCTTAGGATTATTTTCACTAAATGCACAACTTCATGTTTGGCCACACTGATGCTCACATGCCACCCTGGCACCCACTCACACAACCTGGCAGAACCTCCCTCCACTTTATTTTCCTCAGGAGAGAAGTTAGTATCTTCTGCATACCTGGTGATACCACTTCCATTGATCCCAGGAGGGAGGGTTTCCCTAGGCCATAGCAAGGATCAGTTGAAGGAACTGGGCCTATTTAACCCTGAGAAGCAATAAGTAAGGGAGAACAGGCACTCTTTGAGTATTTGAAAGGCTGTGCTATGAAGAGGTAGAATGAGCTTCCATCACTGGAGGTGTTTAAATGGAAACTGGAGACCATTTGTTAAGAATGATTGCACATGTATGACCAGTATCAGATTGCTTAATGTTTCAGGGAGAAGGGAAGGGAGGGGAGGAAGGAGGGAGAGAATTTGGAACTCAAAATTTAAAAAAAAAATGTTAAAAAGAATTTTACATGTAATTGAGGGAAGAGTATTTTTTAAAAAGAGACAGTGCAGTAGAGAGGATTGCTACTTAGGTTACAGGTTGGACTGTTTTAGAATTTTTTTTCAGTTTCCAAGATCTGTCCCAGTGGTCTTTCAGGTCTCATGGGGCTCAGTTTTGACAACAGTAGAATTTTCACTGGTCCACTCAAACGAACCAGTTCTTGCCACAGCACCTGCCACTTGGGTATGAAGAGCATTAGGTGCTTGGTGCAGAGCTCATCCTTCCTGGGAGAGGTTCCTGTTCTGAATGTGCTTTCTTTTCTTCCAGGATAAAGTGTTGCGTATGCTGTACGTGTGGGCACTCTGTAGAGACCAGACTGAGCTCAACCCTTACGCAGCCTGGAGGCTGCTGGATATTTCGGCCTCAAGCACAGAGCAGATTCTCTGAAGACAACTGATGGGGACCTGCTGGACTGTGCTGTGTTGTTCTCCCAGCAAGGGCCCCACTACTGTCAGAAGCTTCAGGATGCAAGACCATTTGGCTCCTGCAGGGTACTTTGTGACCCCCCTTTCCAGGATCCAGTGTGAAAGGAGGGGGGAGGGAAGACTGGGTACTGGATGAGATAAGGACATGAGAAATTTCCCCTTGGGGAATGAAGCTGGCGAGGAGGGGTGGTGTTGGGGAGCTAGTATATGAGCAGGGTAACTCATGGGGTCCCAGGTTTATGAGGTTAAGACTGTCGCAGAAGAAGCTTGAGGCCTGATGCTGTCTCCCTCCTTCCTGCATTGGGCCCAATAGGTGTATCCAGGGAGCATCTCTGTCTTGGCCTGCTGCCTAGAGACCTTCCCTTCTCCCTCTGTCCTCTCCTGTCCCCACAGGCTGGTTGGTTAGTAACTGAGAGAAGCCAAATTGGGTGCCAAAAGTCCTGCAGAGGCCCAGGAGCCGGGCATCCAAAAGCAAAAAGCGAAAGTGAGCCGAGGTCCCTGAACACAAAGCTTGCTGAAGAAGTTCGGGGAAAGGGGAATATTGGGGCTGGTGAGGGAGGAGTGAAGCACAGGGCCCTATGAGGAGGGGTAGGGGAGCAGCTGTGCCCCACTTGGTCCTGTGCACGGGGAGGAAGAGGATTAGAAAGGAGAGACTTCACCCCACCACTTGCACACATACAACTTCCCTTAGACTTGGCAGCCTGTCTTGTCTTGGAGGGGCCTTGGGGGACAGAGCCTGGTGCTGGCTCCTCCCCTCTCTGGCCTCAGTTGTCCCTCCTTTGGTGAAGGGGTGTACTTCCTGCCAGGTGCCTCCATCTGGCATCAGATCAGCCAAGTCATTCTAGAGCCTTTTTAAAAATAACAAAACCTGAATGTCTTTATTTCTGTACATACTGCCTGAAGATTTGAAAATAATAAAATACCAAAATGAATAATAAGTATGTCTCCTGATTTTTACTTAGGCTGTCAGGGGGTAGGTGAGTCAGCCACAACCTAGGGGCTAGCTAAGGGGGAAGGGAGGGAGGGGTAGAGTGTATTGAACAAGCAATTTGCTGCTCAGACTTCTCCAGGACTTGAAGGCAGTTGGAGAGACAGCAGCTGGAGGCTTGGGACTCATTGTCTAGTTCCCTACGACAGAGCCAGCTTCTTGCTGAGAAAGGAATGGGGTCAGTGGGCCAGGCCATAGTGAGACTGCCAGGCCTGCCCTGCTGGGCTGGCTCAGCCAGCCTTAAGGAGGAAGATCTAGTCCCTGAATGGGATGGCTCCAAGGGTAGAGAGCCAGATTAGACCCAGGTTGGACAGGAAGCCACTGGCCTGTACCCAGGGGCAGAAGGGGCTTTGCTTCCTCTGCTGTCCCAGGGAGTATGGTTCTGGATATGAAGAAGTTCAGGATTCAGTGTGAATGTCCTTGGATCCAGAGGGGAAGGCCAGAGAAGATCACCCTCCCCAGAGAAAAGTTTTCGTACATATAAACGTACATGCCAAGCCAGCATGCTTCCTTCTCCAGGGAAGATAATTTCAATTACTGGACACAGGGTTCCAAATGTCAGTTTTGAAGTGTGGGCACACACTAATGAGAGAAAACATCGCTCTGGACCTGGCTGAACAGATACTCTCCCCTCCCTAGTTCTTGAGTAAAGGGAAGGGACGGTGGGACCCCAACTGTGTCCCTTTGGGGCCCCTGCCTGGTCTATGCTAGGGAGTGAGGAGTGAGTGTGGGGTTGAAAGGGATGAGGTTAAGGTGAGATCTCTGGATTCCCAGTCTGCTCACCTCCAGTATCTGAAATTTGAGGCCTGGGATGAGTCGGGGCATTGGGGCTGGGCAGAATTGAGATGGGGTCTGAAGGACGGGAGAGGGAGTGAATGTTAGAGCCAAAGATGTGTTTAGGAGCTCCCTGGTGCCCAGATCAAGTGAGAGAATGCACTTCATTATGTAAAGGGAGAAGGGGAGGGAAAGGAATAAGCGTTTATGTAACTCCTACTACGTGCCAGGCACTGTTAAATGCTTTAAAAAAAAAAAAGTCCAAATATTTGAACCTCTCAACAACCCTGGGAGGGAGGTGCTAATATTTTGCAGTTGAAGAAACTGAGGCAGGCAAGGAGTGACGTGACTTACCCAGGGTCACACAGCTAGGTAGGTTCTGTGGTCGGATTTTTGAACTCGGGTCTTTCTGATTTCAATGCCTAGCGCTCTCTTCACTGCGCCATCAGTCTAGGCTAGGGTCTGTGTGGCTTGCCTGGAGGCGGATGGGGTGGTGGGTCGGTCAGAGACGGCCGGAACGGTAGAAGCGGGGGAGGGGGCCCGGTCGGGGAGTAGCTGGGATTTACAGCATTAGGGTGGGGGAAGCAGGACCGTTCCGGGAAACCGGAGCAGGTATCGGAGGGGGAGTGCCCGAGGAGAGGAGCTAAGTTACGGGTAGGGCTACCCGGCCTGCAAAGAGTTAAGGGGCTGTGCGGTGGGGAGCCCTCCCTCCCTTGCCTCCCGCCCCCTCCCCCGCTCCTCTGGGCTCTTGGCGGCGGCCCCGCCCCCGTCGCCATGGGAACAGCCGCGGCGGCTCGGGCTGCGCCTCCTCCGTCTACTTCGGCAGGGCAGGCAGGGCCAGCTGAGACGGGGTTGAGCGCACCGAGACGCGGGGAGAGCGAAGAGGAGGAGCGGAGAGGAGCGGGGTTGAGGGAGCGCACCAAGACGCCCTCACCCCCAGCCCTGGGTGAGGGAGGGGGCTGGGGGGGGCAGAGGTGGGGCTGTAGGAGCCACGGGCAGGAAAACAGGGCTAGGGACGAGCACGGATGGGGAGGGGGCTGCAAGGGCGGGGCGAGCACAGACGAGGAAGGGTGACTGCGGGGGTGACACGGAAGGGGCAGGGGACAGGGGGCGACCTTGGGTCGAACAGGGTTTAGGGGCTCGGGGGCACGTGGGCTGGAGGGTGAGTGGGTAGAAAGGAGGCGGCAACGGCCTCTGGGCACCCGGGTGGGTGGGCGCAGGCTGGGGTGTCTGGGGCAAGGCAAGGGAAGCAGCCCCCAGGTAGCTGAGGTTGGGCTGGGGCTGGGCTGGGGCTGGACTGAGGATGGGGATGGAGATGGTTGGGGGCTGGGGTGCGCGGGTGTAGGGTGTGGTGTGGGGCGAGATGAGGACTGGAGTGCTTAGCTCTCCAGGTTCTTCGTCTCCTCCCTCATATGCACCGAGTGAGAGGGCTGGGGTGGGGGGCAAAAGGGGCGGTAGAGAAGGGAGTACACGGGCGTGGGCAGGTAAGAGATGAGTGGGTGGGCTTAAAAAAAGGAAAATAGGCTTAGAGTGGGGTGGGATGTGATGAGGTCGCGGGATGGGTGAGGTTTTATGGGTGGGGACGTGGGTTTGAAGTGTTGTAAGGGGGTAAGGGGCTGGGGGTGGTGAGGGTGAATAGATGGGGGATGGAACCGAGATAAAATTGGGTGTACGAGGGCGGGGAGGGGAGGAGTATGGAAATGGTGTGATAGGAAAGTGTGCTGAGGTTCCAGGGACTGGGGGTGTTTGGAAGGAGGGGAGGTAAAATTGGACTTACGGGGTACACACTAGGACCGAGGTATGTGGTGTGTGCCTAGATGAGGATAACTGCGCGGGATGAAGAAGCACGGGATTAGGTGATGGGACGTGTTTGGGGGGGGGGGGTGGCGGGACTAGGGTGGGATGGGACAATTTAAGTGAGGTGGGAGATGGGATGGGGCCTGGGGGTGTACGGAGGGTAGCGAGGAAATGAGAGACAGAGGTGAGGGTGGATGATTGTGGAGCGGAGTGGGAATGAGGTGGGATTCCCAGGGGTATGGGGGCGGGGATGGGTGTGTAGGATGCGTAGCGGGATGGAGGTTTAAGGGAGCCGTGGCGTTGGGGACTAAGTGACGGTTGGGGGTGGGGAAGGTACGAGGAAGGGGGTGAAGTGAGATAGGGACGGGGTGGGGGCCGCTGGGGGCGTGGCAGCTATTTGTGGCTTCTCTCCCTCTCCGCAGGTCTCTGTGCCAGTCCGGTCCGGGTCGTGGCCCCAGAGGGGGAGGCGGGCAGACGGGCGATGTGAGCTGCCAGTGGAGCCATGAGCTCCGCCTGGACTCCAGACTACGAGGCTCTGTCCCCCGGCGGGGGCTCCAGGGACAGGGGGAAGCGGGGGGTCCGCGGGGCTGGACGCCGAGCAGCGCACGGTCTTCGCCTTTGTTCTGTTTCTGCTGCTGTTCTTGGTGCTGCTCATGGTGCGCTGCGTCCGCATCCTCCTGGACCCCTACAGCCGCATGCCTGCCTCGTCCTGGACCGACCACAAGGAGGCGCTAGAGAGGGGCCAGTTCGACTATGCGTTGGTGTGACGGCAGAGCGGAAGGGTCCCGCACCTACCCACCCTGCCCCTGCCCCTGCTCCGCCCTGAGATTCCACCCTCTGTCCTCCCTACCCTGGTATCTCTACCGCATCCCCAGACTGGCCTAGAATCCAAGGCCCAGGACCACCTCCATTCTTGCACCCCAGCTTGGTCTAGGGCTCCCCAAACTCACCCCCCCCACCACTTTACCTCATCTGGCCTAACGTCAGGCTTTTCTCCTTATCCAGATGCCCTGATTCCCACCTGGCCTGGCCTGTGACCCAAGGCTCAAAGCTATCCTATTCCCCTGACCCAAAGCCTGGTCTAGGCCTCCCTTCTCAAACCCGGATTCCACCTCCAGGCTGCCCCTAACCCTGACTCCTGCTCCTAAGCTCTCACATCCACTCTGTCCTTCCACCCGAGGGCACAAGATGAGTAGGCCTAAGGTCTGGCAGTTGATGCTTTTCCAAGCGGAGTGGGCCATTCTCCCCACCCACTTCCATCAGGGAGGGACTAGAGTGAGCAAGCTCTGGGAGGCAGGCCCCCCATTCCTGTGCTTCAGGGAGTTCCTCTGGCCGGGGTGGTGGCTGCTCCCATGCCTCCTGACCCGCACCTGCCCTGCCTGCTACCTGGTGATGGATGATCAAAGCTCTGGATGCTGCATCCTCCTCCTTTTCCTCTGTCCATTTGACCTGCTGGCCTCCCCTCTCTCATGACAGCTGGCTGGCCACTCTCCTGGAGCACTCAGGACTGATGCCCTTCCCCGAGACTGGGACTGCAGAACCTAGTTACTGAAAGAGAAATTCAGCAAGACCCTCCCCCTTCCCCACTCCCAGCACTTTAGCCCCTCCCTCAATTCAACAAACATTTAGTAAGCGCCTATTATGTGCAAGGTACTGTGCCACCAGCCCAGCCCAGCCCCCTCTCCCTAACCTCAGAAGCCTCTAACCTTTTCCAATGGTTGACTTCCTGGTCAAGGAGATCCTGAGCAGAGGGGCTTCGTGAGGGCAGTGGGGGGAGTATGGCTGTGCAAGGCACTACAATTGAACCTATCTTAACACTTCTTAAATGCCTACTGTGTGAAGGGCAGCAGATGATCGAAGATGGCTCAAACTAGACTTGGTGGTAGGTTTCTTTGACAAGGCTATACCTAGCTGCAGGTCAGCCCCAAACCCTTATTAGCTAACACCCCCCCCATTCCCCCAGGGTGGAGGTAATGTCTGCTGAAAGCTGATACGAGTGTGGCCATCCTGCCCCCTCTGCCCCCACTGCCCTCTCCTCATGTGACTGTAGTAACCTCTAAGCCTGTCTCCCAACCCCCAATCAGGGGCCTTCTGCTCTCCCAGACCCCACAGGCTGACTTGTTATCCACCTCTGTGCCTTCGTTCCTACCATTTCCCTGCCTAGAATGGCGTCCCCAACTTCCTGGCCACCTGATCTTTTTCCAAACCCATATGATATCCTTGACACATTCCTCTTGTTGCTTTTTTTGTCTGTCCACGCCCAAAGCATAGAAGCTTATGGGGGGGGGCTCTCCCCCCGGATTACTGTAGGGTTTTTTTTTTCCACCCAGGGCTGGTGCCTGGCTAGCTACCCCAAACACCCCTGCCCCGCCATGCAGCATTTATAAACGAGTTCCCACAAGTGCTGAGCCCCTACCCCACCTGGCTGGGCTCTAAGACCAAAGCAGCTCACCCAGACCACCCCTGAGCTAAAACTAGTGGATGTACCCAGGACAAGCCAAACACAGGAGAGGGGAAGGGGAGGAAAGCTGGACAGCGGACAGAGACAACACCCGCAGCCGCCTTAGCTCAGGCCCAAATAATAAATAACAAATCATCCTGTCCTGAGTGTGAGTGGTTTTTGTGATGAGGTGGAAAAAAAGAGCTTCAAGGTGAATGAGAGACAGAACAGGGTAGTGGGGAAGCATCCTGGACTGGCAGGGAGGAGATCTGGATTCAAATCTCAGCTCTGCCTCTAGCTGTGTGTCCTTGGGTATAAACCTCCCACTCCCCGGGTCTACTCCCGCACTATAAAATGGGGAGGGAGAAGGGGCTGGGCTGGATGCCTAGGGCACTGTCCCACTTCTGACATTCTGTCCCTCTGATTCTGGCTGTGCTGATCAACTATTTCACATGCTGCTCTCGCCACCACCAGACTCCCTCCCCCGCTCCCCTTCCCTGTGCCCTTCCAAAACCAGGACTGGGTCATTCAGTCCTATTCCTCTGGCCTAGCCCCTGTTGTGCATGCTGTTGCAGAGTCAGAGGGTCTCAGAACCTAGCAGCCCTGGCCTATTCGTGCCACTGTCCTACCGCCCTCTTACCCACATCGGCTCACTCCTGACAGCACCGCTGTTCCATGACATTTTCTCAAATTCCCCTTAAACTCCCGGTCCCATCTGCTTCCCATCCCCCTTACAATAAACACCTTTGTACCCTTATTTCCATGAGATGCAGTGTGTTAAGGGCCTGCTAAACCTGAAGTGGGGTGGGGGTGGGGTGGAACAAAACCATTCCCTGTGCCACTTTCATCTCTGACCCCCTGTTCTTCGCCATCCTTTGGAAGGCCACATCTCCTCTACCTCAGCTGCTGCTTCTTCCCCAATGCCTTGTCCCAACATCTTTAGGCTGGAAGAAATAGCTAAGTATGGTTGAAGTTCAAGGCACAATGACATTCTGAAGTGCCTCGGGGGGTGCCTGAGGGGCCCTGCCCTACCTACAGCAGCTAAGAGTTAGGGGGATGGTGAAGCCATAGTAGACGGCTCTGATGTCCAGTAAACAACAGAAGACAAGGAGAGAGTACAGGTTGGGGCTAGTGACCGCTCTCTACTGAGAACTTTGCACCCAGAGTGGAGTTTCAGCTGTTGGTATGATTGGAATGGTGGAGGAAAGAGGGGTTGAGACCAGATGCAAGGACCATAAGCCACCCCTTGGCCTCAGCTCTAGGATCCAAGTCTTATAGAACAAATCCTTTCATTAAGGGGATCTGTTCTGTGAAGTTTGGATTTGGCAAAAGGACCACACTCAGTCTCCAAGCCGAAGGTTCCCCACCACTGTTCTAAGGCATCCCAGGAAGGAAGAAGAGCAAACTCATTGGTCTGAATGGGCCAATTCATTGCAAGGTAGGATTGGAAGACTGGCTTAGTGGAAAGAATGCTGGACTTGAGGGCCCAATAGGCCTCCATTTGAATCCCACGTCTGACGCGATCTTGATCATCACCCCTCATCATCGAGGAGGGACCCGTACAGCTCTCAGGAGTGGGGCTCTCTTCCTAGGGCGTGACTGACTGAGGTGCTAACTCAGCTGGAAAGTGGGGTATTAACATGCACACTACCCCCCTCACTGGGTAACTCTAAAGCTTGTTCCGTAGTAATAGGAGAAAAGGCATGGGCTGAGACAGGCACCCCCATTGAGCTAAGGACAAGTGGCCATGGGGTCCAAGTGAAGTCTGAGAAAAGAATCAGAGAAAACGCAGTCCCTGGGTCTGTCTCCTTTGGGTGGACAGCCACAAGGTGGGGGGGGGGGGGGGAAGCAGGCCCCAGAAGTTAGCTGATACTTCCCTGATGTGGAGTGGTGCTGGGAGGACAACCAGAACCTCAGGAAAAAAGAAGAAAACAGCGAGGTAAGCTGTGGTTGGGACAGGGCATGTGTCAAGAAATGTTCATTTTGAACCTGTTTGAAAATGAATTAACATTTTGGAGACTGTTTATTGCATCACATATTTAGGTGAAAGAGAATATATGCACGGCCCAGTTTTCAATCACGATACTATTGAATATTCTGTTTGATGAAATGAGGATGGGAAAGAATGGAAAAAAACAACCCAGAATTGTGAAAGAAGTTTGTGCTTCTTTGAAGAAGCTGGCTGATTTTAAGTTAAAAACCTTGAAATTGCTTATTTAATTGGGGTATTAACAAAGCAAAATTAATTTGGTGTTAACATAGTGAGCACAGTTAACACTGGATGACTGTCAGAGGAGCAAAGGTGGGTGCTTGAGTAAACCAGGACTGAAACTAATTTTTGAGAAAGCACATCTTTGCATTAATTAGACAAAGTAAATAGTTTCATCTTAAAATTAAATGACAAAATATGAATGACTTAACAGTTTTACAACCACTTGTAAATTATGCTGAGGAATTTCTCAGTTACTTGTAATTTAATTTTGTTTTTATTAGTTTTTGCAATTACATTTTGAAAATAAAAACCAGCATCCAGAGTCCTGCCTTACATTCCTTCTGAACCTAAGTTACATATTTTTGAGACGGATAAACGTTTTAACTGTGCCCACCATCAACTGGACCAGAGGGCTCGGCAGAAAGCCAACCTTCATTACAATACCGAACTGAAAACTAAGGTATCAAAGGAATGGCAGTGTTGAGGGTGGCAAGCACCGGGGTGTTCTGATGCTGAGCTTTCTCACCCACACCGGGCAGGGTGGAGAAGCGGAGAGGAAGACATCCGTGCACATTAGAGATACTCAATAAGTATCTGCTGAAGAAGCAGGTGCATCATTTTTTAAAATCACCCTTAAATCAAACTTTAAGGTTTAAAAAGTGCTTTTCCCAGAACAACCCTGACTGCCCCAGAACGCCCAGGACTCGTTTGCCCAAAATCTCTTTCAAACACATATGCCACACATGCAACTCCTCACATCCAGAGAGGGAATGGGGTTCAACAGAACAGACACGATTCCGAGCCCCAGGAACTTTGAAATTTCTTTAAATTCCTGATCGGATATTGAGAATAGGGAATCATATAAACCCAGAGTCACAGAATTGCCTAGAAACCTAGGACAAAATAGCAAAGGAATTTCAGAAATAATAAACATAGCTTTATTTCCTAGGAGCTCACCTTTTTTCCCTCCTCCTTTCACCCTGACCACCCCCCCCCACACATACACACTCACACCCTCACGACCCCACACACAGCCCTTGCCTGGGGATGCAGTGTAGGGCCCCGCCCTCAGGAGGGTCCCCTGGCAAAGGGCTTGCCAGCGCTCACGGCCCAGGAGTTGGGGCCTGAGACAGAAGCTCCAAGGGAACCAGGAATGGGTTCAGAGGACAGAACTCCAGATCCTGCCACAGCTGGTGCTGAGCAGGGGGCAGACTTGGCCCAGAAGCAGCAGGACTCTCAGGAGTGGGGCTCTCCACGCTTCCTGGGGCACTGCTGGGGGAGGTGCTAACTTCACTGTCTTCCATGGAGTGGCCTTTGCCAGGGTCCTCAGGGCTTGGGCCTGAGTCCGATTGAGGGCGTACCAGTTTTCTGTAGGAACCAGCCATGTGGGCCTGTAGCCTTTCACAGGGCAGGCGACTGAGCTCCTCAGGGAGGGACATGAGCAGATCGAGGAGGACGGCAGCCTCTAGGAATCAAGAAGAAGGGGGAGTGAGTGTGGCCGGGGATGACGGTAAGGACCACTAGCACTGACAGAGCCCTCAAGGGTCTGCCAAGCACGTTACAAGGATGACCTCATTTAATCCTCACACCAGCCTTGGGAGGAGAGGTTCAGTGACTCGCCCAGGGTCATGCGGTAGTGAGTACCTGAAGCCCAGGCTAGCACTCTCTCCCTCCCCATCCGTGCCCCACTTCTCAGCCCACTGCTCTACTTCTTGCTCCCCTCCCCAGCATGGAGCTCCCCTCTCCTCACATCCCCACTCACCTCCAGGGGAGAGCTCAAGGCCCTTGCCACTCCGGGATACGCTTGACAGATATTTATATATCTTCTCAAAGTCAATGACAAAGTCTCCGCTTGTGGGTGAGGCAGGGCTAGATTTGGAGGAGTTCATCTCGACTTGGGCGTCTGAGGTGCCAGACGCTCCCCCACTGGTCTCTCGGGTGGGCTCTGGGGCCTGAGGCGGGAGTTCTCCCTGGGAACAAGAGTCTTTGGAGAGAAGCTGTCTCTCACTGGCTTGGGTTGGCTTCTCTGGAATGGAGTGGAGCAGACTCCCGGGTTCTGTCGCAGCAATGGTCAGGATCTGGGAGGGGCAGAGAGAAAACAGCATAAAGGGCCCGCAGCCGAGGGCCTGACACCTGCAGGAGATGGGACAGCCCCGAGCAGCCCCTCACCCTGAATTTGTTCTTCCTCTGGGTCAGGGGCTCTTCGGTTTCCCACCTCCTTTATTTTCAGAAGCTATTTCTTTTTACAGGCCTTTCTCACTCTTCCCAGTGGAAGAAAAACAAAGCTGCTGTCATTATCATGCACAGTTTAGCAGAACAAAAACCTTCGTTGGCCAGGCCAAAAAATGAATGTCTCTCTTTGCATCTGAAGTTCACCCATCTCTTGCAGGAGGTGTGGGACAAGGGGATCTCCTCAACCTTTCTTGCGTTGGGGACCTCTTTGGCAATTTGGTGACATCTACAGATCCCTTCTCAGAATCACATTTTTAAATCATTAAAGGAAATTAGAAGTTAGTGAAAATAAAGTTAGTCAGTAATTTAAGCATTTATTAAGCTTGGACCATGTGCCAGGGACCCTGCTTAACCCTAGGGAGACAAAGGGCCCCTCTCTCAAAGAGCTCACAGTCTAACGAGGGACACAGCACACCCACAACTGGGTAGCAAACAACCTGCAGACAATCAGCAGAGGGAAGGGCACCAGCATTCAGGGGGACGAGGGAAGGCCTCCTGCAGGAAGCCAGAGAAACCAGGACGTGTGGAGAGTGCCTGGCGTGGCGGGCAGCCAATGGACAAGGGAGGGAGGGACAAGAAGGCCAAGAAGCTCAGGTCCTGAAGGGCTCTGAGAGCCAAACAGGACTTTAGATTTGATCCCAGGGGTAAGAGGGAGCCACTAGAGTTTCAAGAGGAGGGGGTATAATTTTTTTCTCATTAAAGTTCAAAGACTCCTGAAAATTACTCATGGAACCCTTAGGGGTGGGGGGGAACCTATCAAGCCTAGTTTAAGATCCCCTGCTCTAGCTTTTCCCCAAAAGACAGACGCGTGGGTAGTGACTTCTTAGAAAGACCAATTGTGACGTCCTTTTCTGATGGCTCATTGTGGCTAAGGAGAGGCCCTGGGCTCTTGAACGCTGCTCTGCTACGTCTACCAGAATGGAGAGCCTTCGAGTCTGCTCTGGTGGCAATATTCAAGGCTTCTCAGAACCAGCTCAGGAAAGCCTTATTCCCAGACAGCCAGCCATGAGGAGATGAAGTTTTCTGACTGTAGGAGCTCAATAAGGTGGTCAACTATGATACAGACAAGGCAGTGCCTACCCTGATGAAATCACAGATATCTGGAAAAAAGAACTGAGTTCAAGAACTCCGGGGCCCCTGGTACCTGGGAAAAGGCAGTGGTCATTGCTTCTTCCAAATGGTCGGTCACCTTTGTAGCCAGATCTGTCCAAACCTAGAATTGAACCCAGTATTACAATCTGATCACCCAGGGCCACTGCTTATCTTTTCTTGGCAAGATGTCAACTGCCTCTCTTCTTCCTCACCCAGATCCATCTCACGTCCCTCAAAGACTCCTCTCACACCCCAGCCAAGTGGCACAGCATCACAGGGACCTTGAGGACCACTAGATTCTAGTCTAATCCCCTCATTTTACAGATTAGGAACCTGAGGCACAGAGGCTAAAAGACTGGCTCTGGGTCACAGGAGCAAATACAATGCTCCTGCCATCCTTCCATGTGCCACACCAGTTAAACTTGGGGTCTTTTCTCTCAGACCCTACCCCTTGCTTATGGGCCTCCTGTCCCCCACATTCTGACTTATCTGGTATTCTCACCCCAGCTTCACCTCAATGGGGGCTGGAACTTCAGCCCTGTGAAGCCTCGGTTCCTTCCGGCAGCAGCGATGCTCCTGCTGAATCACCTCCCGGGCCACACGACGCTTCAACAACTGCAGGAAATCCTGGATCTGGAAAGAAATGGCAGGAGGGGGTAGAGAAGGAATCAGAGAGGACGCTAACGTTCTGAGTCTGTCCAAAGCTTCACTCAGGACAGGGCAGAGGGCTGCCCAAATTCCCCATGTCCCCCAAGCACCCAATAAGCCCAAATCCAAGTCAATGAACAGCATTAATCACATAATAATCATGATTGCCAGTATTTATATAGTGCTTTAAGTGGCAAAGCACCTTACAAATGTCAACTCATTTAATTATGTACTAAACGCTGTGTTAAGCACTGGGGATACAAAGGAAGGCAAAAACAGCTCCTGACCCAAAGGAGCTCATGACATAATCTGAATCAAACCTATCTCCTACAGGAAGCCTTCCTTGGTTTCCCCTGGTAAGTTAAGTCCTGCCCCTTAAACACAGAGAGACCTTTGTACCTTCTACTATACCTGTCAATAGTAGTGTGTGGTATGTTTTGGTCTTAACCCCCATGAGACTTTGAGTTCCAAGACTGGCATTCTATATCAAGAAGGGGTATTAATAGTCACATGCAGAAATCCATCTGTTTTCAAAAATCATTTGATGATGTGTTACATATTAGTCTTATGGAAGAGACAGACAGATGTGGGCTAGATGAGTGGTGTAAAGTTGAAAGACAAGAATCCCTGCTGGCTGCGTGCGGACTTAGAAAACCACACATTCACATCATCTATCTTTTGTTTTATTTTTGTTTATTTTGATACATATTTCCCAACCGCTGTTTGACACTTCTAGGCTAGAAGAGGGTACAATTACACAGATGGAGAGCTAGCTGGATGGCTGGACATGAATGACTTGGTATCAAATTGGAAGGAAGTTTGCAGTGCAATGCATCAAGATCGATACTGGGTCATGTGCTGGTTAATATTTTTATCTAGACCTTGCACAAAGGCATAACTAGCATGCTTCTCAGTTTTGGAAAGGACAGCCAATAAAGACACTGCACACGGGAACACTGGAGCAAAAATTCAGTGGGGACTAGATGGTGTGGTGCGGGGGGAAAGCACGCTGGGTTCTGGCCTTGGTTCTACCATATGCTGCCTGTGCCACCTTGGAGAAGGCATTGCCTTTTCTGGCCTCTTATTTCTTATCTAGAAAATAAAGGAAGGAGTTAGACACAATGACCTGGGAGTCCTCTCCAAGTAGAAATCTATGAAATAGGAAAATACAAATTCTTAGATGTGGGTTTAAGAAAATCAGCTTCACAAGGTGGGGCACGCATCAGGATTGTCTCCCCTAATTAGAATGTGAGTTCCATGAAACATTTTATTTGTATCCCCAACAATCAGCACAGTGCTTGGCTCACAGGAAACAATTAATGAGTGCTTTTCCATTAGGAAGGAAATGTTGTTCCATTCCAAAGCACGGTAAGACAGCAGTTTGTCTGAAAAGTATCTGCGGTTTGGGTGACTCACGGAGCCAATGGAGAAAGCAGCTAAAACAAAGCTTGAACTGCATTAAGAGAGGCACTGCTTCCAAGAATAAAGAGGTAATGGTCCCACTGGACTCTGCCCTAGTCAGACCACTTCAGGAGTGCTGTATGAAGCCTGGCCACATTGGGGAAGGACACTGATAAGCTGAACAGCATCCAAAGCAGGGCCACCAGGCTGGAGAAAGGCCTTGAGTCCATGAAGGAATTAGGGATGTTTACCATGGAGAAGAGAAGACTTAGTAGAAACAGGAGAGACCTTCAAATACTTGGGAAACAGCTGTCAAGTGGAAGAAGGGTTCAACTCGTTCTGTTTGGGTCCAGACAGCAGAACCAGGAGTGAAGGATACATGGAGGCAAACAGAGGCTCAAGATAAGGAAAGACTTGGCAGCAGTGGGAGCTCTCTCAAAGGGGAAGAGGTTGCCTTGGGAGGTCAGAAAGTCTCTCTCTGGCAAGGTTTCTGAAGCTGGACCTCCAGTTTCTGGGACACTGAAGGCCTTCTTCTTTAGGTTGGATGTGGATTACTCGGCTACTGAGGACCCTCCCTTCCAGAAGAATGTTTAAAGTCTCTCCTCAAGGGTGGGGCCTACTTTCATTTTTTAGATCCCCAGCTCCTCCTAAGTGCCTGGCACACAGTGGGTATTTAATAAATGCTTTTCTAATTGAATTTCAATGCCAAAATGCTGTGATTCTTTGATGTAATATATTAATTTCCTCAGGACCTTGCACTCAGAAAGTACTTCATAACTGTGCTGAATTTCTTGAACTGAATATAGAAATCCCAATTATCCTTTTTTCCTTGGACCACTGTAGAGGGCCGGCTTTGGGGAGTTGGAGGGCTTAGGCCAGCCCGGGTCTTACCTGTAGATTGTACTAAGCCTGACAGCTGTGAAACTCAGGATGTCGGCTCACCCCCCCCCCCCCAGTTCTGTCTCTTGAGAACAGGATGCAGGAAGGGAGGAAACGGATGGGGTACGGGACAGGACGCAGGATACAATGTAACAGACAAGGTACAAGGAAGTAAGGAAATCACCTAATTAGATTTGTACTTTTCATGAAGAATAACATTACTATAGCTTGATCCAGTACTATATAAGCCTGAGCCCTCAGATCAATAAACAGAGTTTGTTCTTCACTGCTCCCACCTGGCCCAGTGATTCTTTCTCTCTTCACACTCTGCCAGCATTAGACCACAGCCGGGGACGCAGGTGCTCCCGGCAGACCACCCACCTTATCTTGCCTGAGGAAGGGGAAGAGATCACCTCTCCTTCCTGATAGAAAGGATCTTCTCCTTTGTGCTGGACCCATTTTTCTCCCAAAGCTGACGTCAATTACTTTCTGGATGCCACTGGCTTCAAGACAGTAGCCTAACCTTGGTTCTCTCTCTTTCTGCCTCTTTGGGCACTCCCAGGACTCTTCCATCCAGCACACAGTAGGCACTGAACAGATAACCCAATTCATGCTTTTTAAACACCAGTTGTCTTTGCCTCTCACAGATCTTTACTCTCCCCCAACAGTCTGAGTAAGACATAAGCTTGTCCCCAACTCTGCTCTGTACATCCTGAGGGCCCAGACCACAAGACTGCGATCCCTGGAGGACTTAGGGAGACCATGACGTCAAATGTGCTCCTTTTCTACATGGAAAAATGGAAGCAAAGAAGAGGGAACTGGCTTGCCCAAGGTTACAAAGTCAGGGTGTCAGGACTCACACAAAGTGCTCGGGACACTGAAGGAGCATGAGCTTCCTCAGTATCCCCTGAGCCTCACTTCCATCCTGGGGATCCCCCTCATGGCTCCCCTAAATCCCCCAGACCTTTATCACTTTAGCCTCAAGCCATCTCAACCTCAGCCCTCCTCCAACCAGGTTCACCTGAGTCTCACCTTTCACAGCACAGATTAATAATGATGATGATGATGATGATGATAACAATGACAGCAGAATTTATACAGGCCTTAAGCTCTGCAAGGTGCTTCTCATGTTATCTTATTTGGTCCTCACCACAACCCTGGGTGATAGGTTGTTATTCTCCCAATACAAGTGGAGAAACAGGCTGAGAGCATTGATGGAAGTAACTTGCCCAAGGTCACAGAGCTAGCTACTGCATGAAGCAGAATTCAAATTCAGGTAGGTCTTCCTGATTCCAGGTCCAGCACTCCATCCACTGTGCCATCCAGCTGGCCTAAATCCAGCCCCAGTCCCTCATCTAAAACTCACCCAAACTTGGCCCTGGCCCCATCCCTTACCTAAGACTCCAGGCTCTAGCTAAGCCCCTTACCTCACCCTCTCACTGGCCCCAGGAGCCCTGCTCCCTCTACCTGGGAGCCCCTCCCCTGCTCAGTTAAGATCCCCTCAGATTCCCCTCCTCCCCGTGTGAACCTGACTCTCAGCCATCTAAATTCTCCCACCCTCTTCACCTCAACCTAGCTTTTGCCACGAAAGCCCTCAGCCTCCCTCCAGCCTCACCCCTTATCCCAGCCCTGACTCACCTGAGCCTCAAACTTTGCCCCTTTTGCCCAACCTTCCTCCTCTCCTGCCCCCACAAACTCCAATTCCTTGACTTCTCAATTGTCTCCCAGGCCATCTCCCCTGCACTGGCCACCCTCTCCTCTTTTTTTCCACCCTGACCCTTGTTAAACCAATTCAATTCTACACTGTGGCCCTCTCCTGAATCCTTAGCTCTTTATCATTTCCTCCATTATGCCCTGCCAAAACTCAGCCTGGATCACTCCCACCATTTGCCCCTTTCCATACTACACACATGCTACAAAATGAAGATGGAGAAAATCACACAATCATTCTGACTAGGTCCACTATAAATGTGATACCCAACCTCAACTGGGCCCTCACCACAGCTAGGTAAATCTTGTATATCTCCCTCATCAACTCCCTCTCCCACTCTTCACAGCAGCTCTTCCAAACCTCCTCATCCCTCCTCAAACCTCCCCTGACTCTCCCTCCCCCCAGTCTCTCAGCTGAGAACCTCACCTCCTATTTTACAGAAAAAAATGAGGCCATTCACCATAAGCTCCCTCTTTCTCATCTCCTGTTCCTGAGGTGCTTTCTGTCCCTCTGTCCTCCTCCACCCCTGTCTTGTGATGAGGTAGCCTTACTCCTTACCAAGGCTAACCCTTCTACCTGCTCAATGGGAACCTATTCCATCTCATCTCCAGTAATAGATTATCCCCCTCTGTCATCTGACTCTATCTCTTATTTTCAATCTCTCAGGTCACTGCTTCATTTCCTGCTGCCTACAAATACGTCCAAGTCTCCACCATCCTGGAAAAACCCTCACTTGATCCTTCCATCCTTGCTAACTACCATCCTGTTTCTTTTCTGTCCTTTGTGGCTAAACTCCATGAGAAGGCCATCTACAAAGGTGCTTCCACTATCCCCTCACTCTCTTCTTAACTCCTTAAGTTCTGCTCGTGACCTCCCTATTCTACCAAAACTGTACTCTCCAAGTTGTCAATGATCTCTTGGCTGTCAAACCCAATGGCCCTTTCTCAATCCTCATTCTCCTTCACCTCTCTGCAGCCTTTGACACCCAGGATCATTCTCTCTTCCTTGATCTGCTCTTCTCTCTGGGTTTTCGAGGTTCTTCTCCTACCTCTCTGACTGCTCCTTGTCAGGCTCCTTTACTGGACCCTTCTCCAGATCATGCCCTCTAATCATAGGTATCCCTCTGGGTTCTGTGCTGGGCCCTCTTCTCTTCTCCCTCTGTACTACTCCACTTGATGATCTCATCAGCTCCAGTGAATTTAATTACCATCTCTAAAACGATAATTCTCAAATCTACTTTTCTTCTATCTCCAACTGCGTTTCAATCACCTCAAACTGGATGTCCAGTAGACATCTGAAACTCAATATGCCTAAAACTGAACTCATTATAAATCTTTCCCCCTAAACCTGCCCCACCTCCTATCTCAACTGTAGAAAGCAATGCCACACTCCCAATCCCTCAGGCCCCCAATCTAGGGGTCATTCTAGGCTCCTCAGTATCTTTTATCCCCATATTCAAGCTGTTGCCAAGGCCTGTGAATTTCTTTTCCTTTTTTTTGGGGGGGATGAGGCAACTGGGGTTAAAAGACTTGCCCAGAGTCACACAGCTAGTGAGTGTTATGCCCTGAGCTTCAATTTCAACTCAGGTCCTCCTGACTCCAGGGCAGTGCTCTATCCACTGCAAACCCTGTCAATTTCACCTTTGCAACATCTCTCCCACATGTCCTTTCTCCCCTCTGACACTATCACAACCTTGGTGCAGACTGTCATCAACTCACACCCAGTCATATAACAATAGCCTGCTGGGTGGGGGGGGGTAGCACTGTGTTCCTACCTTCCTCACACCTCTCACCACAAATCTACCCTGCATTCAGCCACTAAAGTGATTTTCCTTAAGCCCAAGTCTGATCATGTCACCAAGAGTCCCTACTCAATAAACTCTAGTGACTTCCTACTGCCCCCCCCATCAAATACAAAATGCCCTACTTGGCATTGAAAGCCCTTCATGACCTGGCCCCCTCCTCCCTTTCCAGTTTTCTTACACCTTACTCCCCACCAACTATTCTTCCATGATCCTGCCTCTTCCACAAACAAGACCCTCCATCTCTCAGCTCTGGGCATTCTCTCTGGCTGTCCCCCATGCCTGGAACGCTCTTCCTCCTCCACTGACCACTGACCTCCCTGGCTTCCTTCAAGTCCCAGACAAAATCCCACCTCCTATAGGAAGCCTTCCCCAGTCCCACTTAATTCCAGTGCCTTCCCTCTGTCAACTGTCTTCTGCTCATCTTGTACTCAGCTTCCTTTCTAGGTACTTATTTGCATATCGTCTCCCTCATTAGATTCATTCACTCAGTAAACATTTATTAAGTATATCCTATGGGCAGGGCACCTTGCTATGCACTGTGAGCCCCTTGAAGGCATGGATTGTCTTTTGCCTCTGTTTGTACCCCCAGCGCTTAGCACACTGTCTAGCACACACCCGGCACTTTATAAAAGAGGACTGGTGGACTGATGGACGTTCCCCTCAGCCTCACGCCCAGCACGTGCCCCCACAACTCAACCCCGCCCCTTTCCCTTCATCCCCGCCCCTACAGCCTCGCTCTGGTCTTTGCTCCGCCCCCTCCTTCAGCCTCCCTAGGCTACTATCCCTCACTTCTCCTTTTCCTCCAGCCCCGCCCCCACAGCAGTCTCGCACTGCCTCTTTCCTCGTTCTGGCCGGGGCCATGCTCCGCCTCCTTCCCCTCGGCCCCGCCCCCGAACCTCAGCCTCGCTCCGGTGGGGCAGCCCCTGCCTCAGCTCCGCAGCCTCGGGTTCTCTCTCCCCGTCTCGTGCCTGCAGTAAACGGAGGAGTTGCTGCTTTTCCCGTGGGGTCCAGAGTGTGGCCCTGCGGACCCCGGCCGGGGCCAACCCTCGGTACCGCGACGGAGCTGCGCGCCGCCTTACAGGGGGCTTCATGATAGCCTGAGCCGGGAGCTGACGCCTGCAGTCTGGAAGTACACCAAACGGTCATTTCCGGATACGTCCTGATACGGTGGCTGTGAAGAGCCAAAAGGGGCCAACGAGGCGGCTGTGGCAGCTTCGCTTTTTCTCTGTGTGTTTATATACGCTTCTACCCCAGGGGAGGAGAAGAGGAAATAAGCTACGCCCCAGCTGAAAAACCAATTCTTTACTGAAAGGCATGAAATTTAATGCTGCATCTGGACTGTAACTTCTGCAAGATCTGAGCTCAGTTGTAATGAACAATTGTGACAGGCAAATGTCTGTTTGTAAGGAAGCAGCCTCTTCAAACACTTGAAAATCTTTTCTTTCCAAGGCTTCGGGCTGCCCATTGCCTGATAGCTTGTTTGTAAGTAGTTGTTAGTGTGATATGTTCCCCATTAGATTGTAAGCTCCCTGAGGGCAGGGACTGCCTGATAGCTGGTTTGTAAGTAGTGTGATTGTAAGCTCCCTGAGGCAGGGACTGTCTTTCTTTGTATCCCTACCACTTACCCCACTGCCTGACCATAGGTCTGCCTGTCACCAAACATTCGTTAAGCTCCTCCCACGTGCTAGTCACTGCCGAAAGCTCTGGGGATACGGGGGCAAAAGACAGCCCCTGCCTTCAAGGAGCTTACAATCTAATGGAGACAACAAGCAAATGAATATGTACTAAGAAGCTCTGTGCAGGATAAGCAGGACATAATTAACAGAGGGAAGGCACTAAAGTTAAGAGACTGGGAAAGGCTTCCTGTAAAAGGTGAGATTTTGGTTGGCACTTAAAAGGAAGCCAGGGAGGCTAGTAAGGTGGAGTGGAGGAAGGACATCCTTTGCAGGGATGGGCACAGCCAGAGAAAATGCCTGTAATTGGGAGGTGGAGGGTCTGGTGGGTGGACCAGCCAGGAGACTGGTGGTGTCACTAGGTTGAAGAATATGACTTGAGAAATAAGGTGTAAGAATACCAGCAAGGTAGGTGGGTGCTGGGTCCTGAAGGGCTTTGAATGTCAAGCAGAGCATTTTGTATTTGATCCTGCTGGCAACAGGGAGCCACTGGAGTTTTTTGAGTAGGGGGGGTGACAAGGTTGGACCTTTGTTGTAGGAAAATCATTTTAATGGCTGAATGGACGATAGATTGGAGTGGAGAGAGACTTGAGCAGACTTGAGAGGCTGCAGACCTACCTGCAGGCTATTGGAATAATCCAGGTGTGAGGTGATGTGGGCTTTCACCAGGGTGGTGGCAGTGTCACAGGAGAGAAGAGGAGTGGGAGAGATATTGCAAAGGTGAAATTATCATGCTTTGGCAAAGAATTGAATATGGGGAGTGAGAGATTGTGAGGAGTCTAGGATGGCTTGTAGATTGTGGTAGTAGTAGGGAAAGTAGGAGTGGGAAATGGTTTAAAGGGAAAGACAGTGAGTTCAGTTTTGGACGTGTTTAGTTACAGGTATCTATTTGAGATATCTGAAAGGCAGTTGGAAATACAAGGCTGGAGATCAGCAGAAGGTTGGGGCAGGCAAGGTAGATTTGGGAATCATCATCATAGAGATGATAATTAAACCTATGGGAGCTGATGAGATCACCAAGTGAAGTAGTGTAGAGGGAGAAGAGAAGAAGGTCCAGGACAGAACCCAGAGAAACATCTATGGTTAGAAGGAATGATCTGGAGGAGGATTCAGTAAAGGAGCCTGAAAAGGAACAGTCGGAGGAAGACCTTGAAAACCTAGAGAGGAGAGGGTATGAAGGAAGAGAAAATGATCCTGAGTGTCAAAGGCTGCAGAGAGGTCAAGGAGAATGAGGATTGAGAAAAGGCTATTGGGTTTGGCAACTAGGAGATCACTGATAACTGGAGAGAGCAGTTTTGGTAGAATAGGGAGGTCATGAGCAGGATTGTAAGGGGTTAAGAATTGTAAGAGAACAGTGAAAGTGGAGGCTCCTATTCTAGATGGCCTTTTCAAGAGGTTTGGCCATAAAGGCAAAGGAGATATAAGATGATAGTTATAAGGGACTGAAGGATCAATAGAGGGTTTTTTGGTTTTGTTTTTGATTTTAGGAAGGGAAAGACAAGGGCATGTTTGTAGGTGGTAGGGAAGGAGTCAGTAGGGAGCGGTTGAAAATAAGTGAAAGAGTGGGGACAACAGAGCTGCTCTTTGGATTTGTTCTGTGAAGTTTGGATTCGGTCAAAGGGCCACACTTGAGGATCTAGAGTGTTATATGTGGCTTCAAGGCCGTAGGTTCCAACCTCTGCATCTAAACATTAGTGGAAAGAATGATTACTTGATTCTTCATATCTGTGAGGGGCAAAGTTGGTAAGGGCTTGGGAGAGGAGAAATTCTTGTCTTCTATTCCAGCCTTCAGAGAAGATTCATCAGGATTCTAGGCCCTTTTCATTCAGAGTGCTTTGGAGGGAAAGAAAGATTTTGGGAAGAAGCAGAAACATAGAGCAGCCAGCTCCATGACATATCACTGATTTTCAGCTTGCTGCAGTAAAGACTTTGGTGAATGTCTCCTTGGGTGAGACAGGGACTCCCAGTTGAGTTCAGATGGATTGCATCCAGTGGTACGACCCAGTCATTCTGTGTATTGCGTGGTATATTCTAATCTGTAGAACTTCTCTGATTTCTGTTTGCTATTAATCTGGATAAATGGGCTTATTCCCTAGATTCACTCTGTGATGGGCATTGTAAAACTGGCATTTGGTGGGTAGGAAGTAAAGCCTCTAGATATAGCTTGAGGCAGTCCTTCCCTATTCAGAGATAGTGACCAGGAAAGCAGCTTGAATTTATAAATCATTTTCCCTAGACTAACACTGTTTGTGTTATTTGCAGAGAGATAGAATTCTAGTCTAGTATTCCTCTTTGAGGGTAACTAGATGGCACAGTGAATAAAGTGGCAGTCCTGGAGTCAGGAAGCTTCATCCTTCTGAGTTCAAATCTGTCTTCAGACACTTGCTAGCTGTGTGACTCTGGGCAAGTCACTTAACTCACTTTGCCTCAGTTTTCTCATCTGTAAAAGGAGCTGGAGAAGGCAATGGCAAACGAAGAGTCAGACACGACTGAAATGACTGGATAGCATCAATGTGCCAAGTACTGTCCTTCACATTGACATTGACTACCATGGACCTTTGCAATTGACCTGAGTTTTGTTGCCTCCCCATTTCAACTTTATTTACACTGTTACAGTTATTGTGGGTATGGTTCTTTTGGCTCCACTTTCTTCCCTCTGTGTCATTTTCCATATTTCTCTGAATTAATTCTTCATGTTTGTTATTCCTTGTGGGTCAGTAACATTCTATTTCTTTCTTAGCAGATGGTGGCAGCGCAGTGGATAGAACCCTGGGCCCGGAGTGAGGAAGATCTAAAGTCAAACCTGGCCTCAGATACAGCCTGCTGTGTGACCCTAGGCAAGTAACTTCACCTCTGTCTGCCTCAGTTTCCTTAAGTGTAAAACGGGGATAATAATAGCACCTACCTCCCAGGGTTGCTGTGAGGATAAAATGTGATAATAATTGTAAAACACTTAGCACAGTGCCTGGCACATACTAGGTATTTCATAAATGCTTGTGTCCTTCCTCTTACATGAAAGGTCACCAGAAAAGATACTCCAGGTTCTAGGTAATCTTGGGATCTGCAGCCATTCAAAACATAAATCATAAGCCCCCACCAATGTCTTTACTCTTTCTTAGTTTTATTTTCTTAATTATATTGATGTTTTGTTTTTATAGTACATTTGGGATTACCCCCACTCTGTGATGGGTCTCTTGTAACAAAGTAAACAATGAAGTAAAACTTAATACAGTGACTACATGAAGAGTGTGCACAACATTGTACATCTGTAATATCCTTCTTCTTTATTAAAAAAAATAGAAACCGATTTTCTCTTCCTCCCATCTCTCAACCCATTGAAAAAATAGAAACAAACAATGAATTCCTTGTAACAAATATGCTTAGTTAAACAAAACAAATTCCCTCATTGCAGGGAATCATGAATGGTCTAAACCTTCCTCTGACCTCCCGGCTTTCTGTCCCCTGAGGGAAGGTGACAAGGGCAAGCCATGTTCTATCTGTGCCAGCACAAGGCGACTCCTACCTTCTGCTGCCAGCCTGATCTCCCAGCTGGAATGTTGAGAACCTCTAGTGCAAAAAGATCAACTTTTCTTTTGACCCTCATCAGGCCTTCCATCTCTTGCTGTGCCTGTCCCTGGAGGAAAGAGGAAGAGGAAAGTTGGTGGGACTTTCTTCTGCTGCTTCACCCTGTTGTGCCTCATCTCCAAAGGAGAGAAGTAGTGCACAGGGCCTTCTATCTGACCATGTACCTTCCATTTCATGCTGCCCTTGTCTTTCGCCCGATCCGCATCATCCTTAGGGAAGAAGAGAAGCACCTTCCACTCAGTGAGGAACATTCTCACACCTCATCATACCTTACACATCCTAGTAATTCTGAATCCTTGTGGGTCATCGTCCAAACCTCATTCCCACCCCACCACCCAGTTCCTTCTTCCCATCCTTCTTGACCCTCCCACTCCAAAGTTCCAACCAAATACCATCCTCCAGGGGCAGCTAGGTGGCACAGTGGATAGAGTACTGCTCCTAGATTTAGGAGGACCTGAGTTCAAATGCGGCCTCAGACACATAACATTTACTAGCTGTGTGACCTAGGCAAGTCACTTGACCTCATGGCCTAGACAAAAAAAACAAAAAAAAAACCCCATCCTCCACTTCCAGAATACCTGTTCCATAAGCAAGAAACTTCCTTCTTCCTAATTGCTTTTCTTTTCCACTCCTTCCATCTTCTGTCTATTATAGAAACCTGACTTCTCAATGGTGACATAGCCTCCCTGCCCACCCTTTCCAGTATTGGCTGTATCTTCATTCATTCCCCTTGGCTCCCTGGTCAAGTTGGGGGTGCTAGAATACTTCTTGTTCCCTATTGCCCCTTCTAGGTTCCCTCCCTACCTCCATCACTCAGTAACCTCTCCTCTTTTGGAGTTCATACTGTTCATCTCTGCCACCCAATCAAAATCCTGGTAGCTCTTATCTACAGACATCCCCTTCTTTCTGAAATAGGTTTGGTA